TATATGGTGAGAGATAGAAGTCTAATTTCATTCTTCTGCATATGGTTTTACAATTTTCCCAATATCATTTGTTGAAGAGACTGTCCTTTATCCAATGTATATTCCTGGCACCTTTGTCAAAAATCAGTTGTCTGTAAATAAGTAGTTTGTTTCTGGATTCTCTATTCTCTTCCATTGGTCTATATGTCTGTTTTTATACCAATACCATGCTATTTTGGTTACCATAGCTTTGTAGTATGTTTTGAAGTCAGGTAGTGTGATGCTTCCACCTTTGTTCTTTTTATTCAGTATTGCTTTGGCTATTCAGGCTTTTTGTGGGTCCACATAAATTTTAGGATTGTTTTTCTATTTACATAAAAAATGTCATTGGCATTTTGACAGGTATTGCATTGACTGTATAGATTGCTTTGGGTAGCGTGGTCATTTTAACAATATTAATTAATCCATTAGCATGGGATGTCTTTCCATTTGTTTGTGTTCTCTTCAATGTCTTTTGTCAGTGTTTTGTAGTTTTCCTTGGGGAGTTCTTTCTCCTCCTTCATTAAATTTATTACTAGGTATTTCATGTTGTTTTGGTAGCTATTGTAAATGGGATTGCTTTCTTGATTTCTTTTTCTGCTAGTTCATTATTGGTGTATAGAAACTTTATTTGTTTTTGTATGTTGATTTTGTATACTGAAACTTTACTGAATTTGTTTATCAGTTCTAACAGTTTTTATGATGGAGTCTGGGTTTTTCTCTATATAAGATCATGTCCTTTACATAGAAGGACAATTTGACTTCCTTTATTTCCAATTTGAGGGCCTTTTGTTTATTTCTCTTGTCTGATTGCTCTGGCTAGGACTTTCAGTACTATGTTGAATAAGAGTCGTGTAAGTGGGCATCCATGTCTTGTTCCAGTTCCTAGATGAAAGGCTGTCTGTCATCTTTTCCCCATTTAGTATGATGTTAGCTGTAGGTTTGTCATAAATAGTCTTTATTAAGTTCAGGTATGTTCCTTCTGTGCCTAATTTGTTGAAAGTTTTTATCACCAAGGGATAACTGTAAGTCCAATCAAATCTCTTTCTTTTGTAAATTGCTCAGTCTTGGGTATGTCTTTATCAGCAGCATGAAAACGGACAAATACATGGCCCTTATGGGAATTTTCAGCCCCAATTCATTTCATCTGGGCTGTTCACAAAATTTCAATGTATGAATTCAGGACATAGCACTATCAATAAAGTACTCTTCTGAAAAGACCTGCTCCTGACTCTAAATACCTACTCAAGACTCAAGACTGATGTACAAATTTACAGGAAATACAGGGGATAAAGAACATAGTAAGTGATGCCTTTCTGTAAACAACCAAATTCAGAAAGATATTCTACAGGAAAAGTGATCCAAATTCTTCAACAAATTAATGGCAGAAAAAATTGGGGTAGGAGAAAAGGAACTGTCTAAAATTACAAAAGACTCGTAATATATTAAACACATATAAACTAAAGGTAGTATAGACCTTGGTTGAATTCTAATTTGTATAAAACTAGGCTTATTAGATGACATCTAATAGATGATATCTAGGCTGAGTATTATTAGATGATATCAAGGAATTACTGTTCAATTTGTTAGGTGTGATAATGGCATTGTGGATTTTAAAACAAGTTATCAGCTGGGCGCGGTAGCTCATGCCTGTAATCCCAGCACTTTGGGAGACTGAGCGGGCAGATCATGAGGTCAAGAGATTGAGACCGTCCTGGCTGACATGGTGAAACCCCGTCTCTACTAAAAACACAAAAGTTATCTGGGCGTGGTAGTGCGTGCCTGTAGTCCCAGCTACTCAGGAGGCTGAGGCAGGAGAATCGCTTGAACTCGGGAGGTGGAGTTTGCAGTGAGCTGAGATCATGCCACTGCACTCCAGCCTGGTGACAGAGTGAGACTCCATCTCAAAAAAACAACAGCAGCAGCAGCAGCAGCAACAACAACAACAACAACAACAACAAAACCCAAAAAACAGAAAAAGAAAAAACAGAAACAAGTTATCTGTTAGAGATGCACACTGAAGAATTATCTTTCTTGTCTTGTAGCTATCAACTGTCAAACCATTAAGACAATAAGAATCAGTCTGATCAGGATTAAGATTGACTGAGAGAAGATTGCAGAGACTTAGACTTTAAGCTGGGTGCAGTAGCTGGTTGAGATTTTGGGATTGCCTTACTTAGCGGTCTAATGAATGCCTTTAATGTACAATGCCTGCATGGGAAGAAGGGTATGCATGGATATTAATCAGCTTAAGGATAAGCTGTCACCAACTATGTTTCTTGGTGAACTAAACACATTTTTAACCCAACACACATTTCTTTTTTTCTTTTTCTTTTTTTTTTTTTTGAGACAGAGTTTCATTCTTATCACCCAGGATGGAGTTAAATGGTGCCATCTCAGCTCACTGTAACTTCTACCTCCCGGGTTCAAGCATTTCTCCTGCCTCAGCCACCCCAGTAGCTGGGATTACAGGCCTGAGCCACCACGCCTGGCTAATTTTGTATTTTTAGTGGAGACAGGATTTCACCATGTTGGCCAGGCTCCTGACTTCAGGTGACCCACCTGCCTTGACGTCCCAAAGTGCTTGGATGAGCCACCGTGCCCTGTCCCAACACACATTTTTAACCCTCTCCTTGACAACTGCCATCATAGAGCCTGGAGACCTAAGTACTGGATTGGCTTTCCCAGTTTTCTTTATACCAAGGGGTGGCCATGTGAGATATAAATGAAAATCTTTTTGCAGAGAGGCCTCTAGGAAAACTCTTTCATAAAAGAAACAAATGATGTTGGTGGCCCTCCTTTTTCCTTTCTTGAATTTGGATATGATTTCTGGAGCTGTAACAGCTCTTGCAACCATGAGGAAAATCCTCTAAACTAATGTGAGCAACTACCTACCCTCACTCTTCTTTAGAGCAATAAAAAATAAAATTTATGTTTAATTAAGCCACTGTTAGTTGAATTATTCTGTTATTTGCAGAAGAAAGTATTCCTAACCTATATATCAGAGCAAAATGCTGGCAATTCCTATCTCATAAACTTTCATGAGGATTGAATAAATAAAATGCCTAACACTTGCCTAGGCAATTTACACATTCCTCTGTCCACCCTACTTCCTAGATCAATTTAGCTACATATTGGGAGGAAGTTATAGTTTGGTTATACCTTTTTATTAAAGCAGAGCTGAGAACCATAGACAGTATTTTAATTTGCAAAGGTGTCAGTTTTATGTAAGGTTAGGATAACATTTTTCTGGTTTGTTCCATACTCTCATTCATCATGCTCAATATTTTTGTTGACTTCTTTGGCCAGAAGAGTTTACTGCTCCAGCATCTTCCTGGAAGAGTCCACAATTGGGCTAAATCTATTTTAACCATTTCCCTCTAGATTTTTAAATTGTACTTGCCTACACAGACATTCCCCTGACACTTTTCTGTAAGCTTGCAAGCCTGGCATTTTCTTCTATTTTTCTTTGTTAGTTTAGTTGCTGCCTAAAAGCAAGACTAGGCTCTCATAGAGGTAGAATGGGGCCAGGTGCAGTGGCTCATGGCTGTAATCTCAGCACTTTGGGAGGCTGAGAGGGTGAATCACGAGGTCAGGAGATCAAGACCAACATGGTGAAACCCCGTCTTTACTAAAAATACAATATATATACACATACACACACACACACATATATACACATATATGTATATATACACACACACATAATATATGTATATATACACACACACACACACATATAATATATACACACATATATATGTGTGTGTATATGTGTGTGTGTGTGTGTATATATATATCTGGGCGTGGTGGTTCATGCCTGTAATCCCAGGTACTCAGGGGGCTGAGGCAGGAGAACTGCTTGAACCTAGGAGGCAGAGTCTTCAGTGAGTCGAGATCCAGCCACTGCACTCCAGCCTTGGCGAAAGAGTAAGACCCCATCTGGAGGGTGTCGAGGGGAAGAGGTATAATGGACAGCAGCAAACCACAGGTGTGATAGGAGAGAATACTAAGTTGAGATCAGCCTCCTAAAATATGAATCCGATTTCAGGATCATTCATTCATGTGACTGTCAAGAACGCCTCTGAATAGGAGGAGGACTTTGGGGAGAGAGTGGGGTTTGTTGAAAGGGCACCGAGAAGGGAGGGGGGTGGTACCCAAACAATTTGTTTACATAATGTTTTTTGGACCTGAAATATGTAGAAAAGTACTTTGAAAATAAAGTACTGTACCGAAGTTTAATTATTTTTCTTATTGTTTGCATATTCTCCCTCCCAGATAATTTACAGAAGGCGCTAAAGCTGATCCCCTGGGAGCTTCAGAGTTTAATGACTCCGCCTGACGATTTCTATTCTTTTCCACAATGTGCTAAGTCAAATTATGGCCAAATTACCAATCGCATGGTGATTCAGCTTCTAAATATGTTTTGCAGTGTTTCCAAAAGTTAAAAAAAACAAACAAATCTTTACCTAAATTGTTTTTACATGCTTCACCTTAAATCAGTTATTCGGTTCCTTTGAAGAATATGCTGCTTTAGCAGCCCCCAAAGTGAACCCAGATACCCAGGACTACTGATTGTTACATCAGAGTTTTTGAAAACGCCAATACTAGAAACAGGTCGACAGTTAAGGAGAGGCGGGCCTCAAACTAAAGCAGACTTCTCAAAACCACTTATATTTCAAGAGATGGATTAAGCGAAAAGAGCTGTACAAATAAATAAGCTATTTTCTATGCGCCTGTTATAGGCAAGGCACTGCACTCCCTTGTCACTTGTTAATTTACAAGAAGACTTGCCGGTCCAGGGAAAGGGAGAGGGGATCGAGGCAAGGTTTATGGAGGGCGGCGAACTGCACTATGCGTGGCGCGGGGCTGAGCTTGCGGAGCCCGGGGTTCTGGTGCCTGGCGCCAGCTGCCAGGTAGGGGCGCGCGTCCTGCGCAGTTGCCGCGCGCGGCCTCCTTGGGCTTCAGGCCCGGCCAATCAGGAGGCGGGCGGACGGGGCGCAGCGCCTGGAGGGGGCGGGGCCGGGTCGGGCTTCGCGGTCTGCGGGCCAGCAGGGAGGGCGCCTTTGGCTTCCCCACCGGCCATGGAGCGGCTGACGTTGCCTCCCCGCGGCGCGGCGGCAGTGGACGAGTACTTGGAGTATAGGAGGTGAGGCTGTGGCTCCGGGCCGGCCCTTCGCCGCTCCAAGGGGCCACGATCCCTGGGCTGAGGGCGAGGGCAGGGGCCCGGCGGGTGTCCGCGGGGGTTCCCTGAATCTTTGCCTGGGTTGTTGGGGGAGGCCTAGATTAATTCCAGTTTCGTCTTTGCCTAATTAAATATTGTAGGGCCACGCAGTTCTATGCAATGATGAGTCTTCCGATGCCATTTAAGAGGTCCCTCTGCTCCCTTCCAAGAAGGATGGCTAACTCTAGTTGATACAGAGGTCCAACTGTTTTTTAAATGGCCATTGAAAACATTCACATCGAGTACTAGAGGCTATAGAAGTTAGCATGCATCAAATTAACCCAGTAATAGGGTCAACCGTGAACTTCTGAACGCACTCCCCACCCCGAGGTGCTGGTTTTAGGAGAAAGGCACCGACTGGTGTTTTGGTGTTCTGGAGAAACCCCTTCCGAAACTGGAAACGTAGGCGCTCCTTTGGCCTGAGGACCCGGCTAATTGTCCTGGGTCCTGACCGAGGCTGGTGCACCTGCAGCGACGCGCTCTTTTTCCGCTTCCTGGGGGTTTTGATCGTCCGGAATCTGGGCGGATGGGAAGTCCTGGAGAGGGCCGCCAGAGGACGCGGAGCTGGGGCGGGAGCATGTGTGTGTACAAGCAGAGGGGAGACGCTCCAGGCTCGGCCAGGGAGGCCGGAGCGAGCGACAGGGCCTCCTCTGCGGCATCGTGGGCGACCCAGATGACCCAGAGGTGTGCGCGCAGACGGCCCCCCAGCTGACTGCTCTCCCGCGCTCCGACTGCCCCGTTGGTGTAGTTTTCGGTAACCCTTAGAACTGCCTGGAGATTCTGAGCCAGAAGAATAAGGGCTAGGAGCTTGATGGGGTCAGTTCGCACGCCCGGTTCAGGGTCAGAACAACCACCATCCAGTCCTCGCGCAGAGCAGAGCCGGCTCCTTGAGCCTCCAGTTCTCCAGAGCTATTGCCTGGGAGCAAGTTGCTGGAGCTGGTGTTGACTGATAACTTGGATATTTAGATATGTGAATTGTGGGCCTCCAGTTAATTCTTGCCTAGCTCCGAACATGTTAGGGCAGACCTGGTGGGAAATTATGTATTTATTTATTTTATTGAGACCGGGTCTGACTCTTGCCCAGGCTGGAGTGCAGTGGCGCGATCTCGGCTCACCGCAATCTCCACCTCCTGGGTTCAAGTGATTCTCCTGCCTCAGCCTCCCGAGTAGCTGGGACTACAGGCGCCCAGCTGATTTTTGTATTTTCTGTAGAGACGGGATTTCACCATGTTGCCCAGGCTGGTCTTGAACTCCTGGGCTCCGCCCGCCTTGGCCTCCTAAAGTGTTGGGATTACAAGCCTGAGCCACCGTGCCCAGCTGGGAAATTATTTTTGCAACCATAAATAACTTGAAACACTTCCCTCTGAAAGAGATTATTAGGTCCTTTACTGACGTCAGGATTTTAGAAAAGTGGGGAAAACAGGACTTGAGTGCCTAGATGTGAAAAGGTGGGCTGGGAAGGTGGGGTGGGAAGATGAGTCAAAATATGAGTTTAGAAGGAAACAAACTTTCCTTCCTAAGAGTTTTCCTGGATTTGGTCTTGTCTAGGTGCTTTGGTGGGAGTCAGTTGGGAGGGGAAGCATGCAGCTTTGTTACTCACACTGTGGGAGTAACATATATACACATATATATTTATACATTTATATACAGGTATATAAATATAAATATATATATATATATTTTAGATAGAGTCTTGCTCTGCTGCCCAGTCTGGAGTGCAGTGGCGCTATCTCAGCTCACTGTAACCTCTGTCTCCATGGTTCAAGCAATTCTCAGTGCCTCAGTTTCCAGAGTAGTTGGGATTATAGGCGCCCACCACCACGCCCCGCTAATTTTTTCATTATTGGTAGAGACGGGGTTTTGCTATATTGGCCAGGCTGGTCTCGAACTCCTGACCTAAAGTAATCCGCCTGCTTCAGCCTCCCAAAGTGCTGGGATTACAGGTGTGAGCCACTGTGCTGTGAGTTTTAATCTGCATTTGAACAAGATCCCCTGGGGATTCTGTAAGTACAATAAAATTTGAGTTGCACTGGTTTAGTATTTAAATACCGATGACATCTTACTTTTAAAAGATCTTTTAAAGATCCGTATTTATCTTAAGATCTTAATACCTGTTGGTATTCTTAATAGGTACAAGAAAGTGAAATGGCCCAAAATTTAACTCAGAAATAAATGCCCTTTGTTTCTTTGCTATTATGTATCTAGATTGTCTGTGTAAAGAAGATAGTTTTGATTATTTCATAGCTTATACATTGGTTTTTCTTTTCTTTCTGTTTTTTTTTTTAATGGCAAGCACATAGAGCAATGGTTTTTATTTTCTACTTCAGCTAAAGGCTTCAAAGTATGGAAAAAAGCATGTATTGCATAAAAAAGCATGTAGCATTCTACAAATATCACTTTTTGTGACTTTTCAAGGGGAGTATTTTCAGGGAGAAACGTCTTCAGTTTTGGAAAAACTTCTTTTAGGTGTGCTTTCTTTTCCTCCAGGGAGGCCAACTCTTAATTTTGTTTCATAGAAATAGTGGGGGCTTAATATTTTCCCATAAAATTTTGGGTTCTTACTTCTGAAATTAAACAATGATAAACCTGATTACCTAATACACAAATGTAGTTTGAGCTTTTGCTGAACCAAGTGTGTATTTAGGTTTCACATGTTTAAACCCCTGGCCAGGGTTTGGAGACAGGTATGGAAATTAGTCATATTGGCTTCTGCTTTGATATTTTTTGTACTTTTTTGGGATACATTTTCAAAGGAGGAAAATGTTAGAATTTTTAGCAGTTAAGGCTCTACCTTTAATGAGAAGAATGAGAATCTTTGCTTCAGTATCAAAGGAAAAACTGAGATGAATATGTGGTAATCCTCTGTTGATAAACCTGGATCAGTAAAGTTGTGTTATGAATTCATTGTTTTTCCTATTAATAACCCTCTTGTATAGGAAGTTAAGGGAGAAAAGATTTCTTTTCTCACCCATCACTAGGTTCATGGCTGAGGCACCTATGTTTCTGGATCAAACCGAGGGTTGGGCTGCTTATTGTCATGGCCCAATAATGCGATTCAGATGAACTGGGAAACAAGGGAGATTATTTCTGTAACTGGTTATAGGGAGAAGGCCTGGAAGATCTTGGCAGACTAACTCAAAATTACAAAGTTTTCCAGAGCTTATATACCTTTTAAGCTATATGTTTATGTGTAAGTGTACATTTATCTAAAGACATAAATGATTAACTTCTACTCTATAACTAAGATCTGAGTCCTGAAGACCTTCCTCTGGAGCCTCAGTAATTTACTTAATCTAAATGGGTCCAGGTGCTGGGGTGATTACTCTTGTCTTGTCTCGTGCTAAATCATGGAGGTTTGGGGAGTTCCTTCAGACCCCCAATAAACTTGTTTATGGAGGTCTGGGGAGTTTCTTCAGACCCCCAATAAAACTTGTTTAGTCCTAAATGGGTCCTTTAAGAATTCCTTCGTTATCTTGTCATGCTGCAAGGCCCAGGAAAGGCCTGGGCAAAACTCTTTGTGAGCTGTTGTTACTTTCCAGCCTTTGTAGAAGGACACTGGTTCTATCAGCTTTTAGTATTTAACTTCACCACTCAGTCAGTGCAGTAACAGGTGTTACGGAGACCTGGCCTGCCACATCTGTCAGAAAAGACAGATTTATAAAATAAAAGCTTACAAATTTATTTAATATTTGCAGTGGCCTGGTCATAGCTCACCCGGAAAATAAATACTCAAAGTTTAAGAGAAATATATATTTTTATTGTAGAATTGTTGGTGAGGATGATGGAGGGAAACTTTTTACTCCTGAAGAATATGAAGAATACAAAAGAAAAGTTTTACCTCTGCGCTTACAAAACAGATTATTTGTGAGCTGGCGGTCACCAACAGGGATGGATTGTAAACTTGTGGGCCCAGAGACACTGTGCTTTTGTACACATAGGTAAGATACTTTATTGCAAAGTTTTTTGATAATTAGAAAATAAAAGCTAAGCATATCTTACTTCTACAAATTGTGATGATTGAGAAACATTTAACAATTGTCCTTTATGTAGTAGAGTAGAAATCATCAACTGGGGATGGCGGCTCACATCTGTTATCCCAGAACTTTGGGAGGCCGAGGCAGAAGGACTGCTTGAGCCCAGGAGTTCTAGTCTGCAGTGAGCTGTGATTGTGCAGCTGCATTCCAGCCTGGGTGACAGAGAGTGAAACTTTGTCTCTTAAAAAACAAAAATTGGCTGGGCGCAGTGGCTCATACCTATAATTCCAGCACTTTGGGAGGCCTAGGTGAGCGGATCATGAGGTCAGCACTTCAAGACCAGTCTGGCCAATATAGTGAAACCCTGTGTCTACTGAAAATACAAAAAATTAGCCGAGTGTGGTGGCACGCGCCTGTAATCCTAGCTACTTGGGAGGCTGAGGCAGGAGAATCGCTTGAACCTGGGAGGTGAGGTTGCAGTGAGCCAAAATCACACCACTGTATACCAGCCTGGGCGACAAGTATGAGGCTCTGTCTCAAAACAAAACAAAACAAAACAAAACAAAACAAAAAAACAAACCCCACAAAAATTATCTAAAGGTTTTTAAAGCTATAATTAAAATTTTTCCATCATATCCTATTAGCGCACATCATGGAGTCTTACCACCTTAAGCAGTTCTCTTGCCATTGGTAAAAATGTTTGGTGGCCCTGTGGCTTTGCCAGGGGTCTTTCAGTTTGACTGGGGAGCAGAGTCTACCTACATCTCACATCACTGGAGAAGGTAGAGAATGGGTCATCAAGCATTGCTTGAATTGGCCGGCACTGATCATGCTGTCCATCTATAAGTATAAACATTTCTCCTCAAATTTACTAATGGCCTTTTATACCTTAAGGATCTGCTATGTTGATACCTTTCTTTAAACAAACAAGCACGCTGCTTTGCATTACAAATGGTCATGTTCCAAGAAAAGTGCCTAAAGGAAAGGAAGGAAGTGAGGCTCCAGTTTTTGACTTGAGTTGTCTGTGTCTGAACTTTGCGTTTTGCTGTGTGTGTGCTCTACTTTAAATTTTGCTACTGTCTTACAGTTGTAAAGTTCAGAATACCTAAGCTGCTTCACAGAAAAGTCTCTGAACCTATTCCATGTTTTCAGGCAGCAACTTTAACTTTCGGTTCCAAGAGGAACCACCCTATTCTGATAGCAATTTCTGGGGCTCTTTCACAGAGACTCTTTGTATAGTTGCTATTTACAGAGTTGCAGTTTGCCAGAGTTTGTTAGGCAGTTGCTAGGATGAGTAATGTTGTATATAGATTGACTATAAATTTATTTAGCAACCCCAGCTAAAAACACTGAGGAGGAATGGAGGATAAGAGATGTGTTGATATCTTTCAGAATTAAAGAGGGGTTTGGTAAGTTTGTGATAGTTTTATAATTTATTCTTACACAAATTTAGTGCCACTTTCTAATCTCTGTATAACTTATACAGCATGGACTTGAACGTCAGAATTGATCCAACTCAACTTTTTTTTTTTTTTGAGACAGGATTTTACTCTGTCACTCAGGTTGGAGTACAGTGGCATGATCTTGGCTCATTGCAGCCTCGACCTCCTGGGCTCTAGCGATCCTTTGACCTCAGCCTCCCAAGTAGCTGTGGCCAGAGGCACTGTGTTTTTGTACAGTTCTTATACTGTTTTTCTTGGCGTGTGCCACCACATCCAGCTAATTTTTGTATTTTTTTGTAGAGAAGTGGTTTGGCTTTGTTGCCCAGACTTCTGGGCTCAAGTGATCTGTCTACCTTGGGCTTTCCAAAGTACTCAGATTACACGTGTGCACCACTATGCTCAACTGACCCAACTCAACTTTGATGGAGAAGTTATTGTATTTAGTACTGATCCACTCAGTGAGATTTCTTCCAAACTTTTCCCCCAACCATAAAAGTGATATATGATTATTAAGGAAAGTGGGGGATATATAGAAACATAGAATATATTCTATATACAATATATAGAAGCAGCTCACTACCCAAAGCCAGCTGCTAGTTTTTTTTTTTTTTTTTTTTTTTTACAATATCTGTATGACTTTTGCTTTCCTTTTTTTTTTTTTTGAGACAGAGTTTCACTCTTCTTGCCCAGGCTGGAGTGCAATGGCATGAGCTTGGCTCACTCAACTCTACCTCATGGGTTCAAGCGATTCTCCTGCCTCAGCCCCCCGAGTAGCTGGGACTACAGGCATGCACCACCATTCCCAGCTAATTTTGTATTTTTAGCAGAGATGGGGTTTCTCCATGTTGGTTAGGCTGCTCTCGAACTCCTAGCCTCAGGTGATCCTGAGGCTGCCTCCCCTGCCTTGGCCTCCCAAAGTGCTGGGATTACAGGCATGAGCCACTGTGCTCGGCCTGACTTTTTCTTTACATGGTTCATTTAACTGTTGTTAATTATGTGTTTGCGTAAAATACTGAGCCACTTTTTAATGACAGAAATCATAGAAATATGTTTCCACGTTGTTATGTGCTGGTCAAAAACAAGATTTTAAATACCTGCCAGCTAGTCCAGCTAGTCCAGTGGTGTTTATCTGTGTTCTCCGGAGCTGTGAGAGAGCCTTGGCGTTGTGCCAGGTGGAAGGGCAGGTTAGGAGAAGGGAAAACTCTATTCTGTTCTTCCTCTTGCTCTAACCAATTCTGCATTTGTTTTATGTATTCTCGTTCTATAAAAGATGTTATTTGACAAAGAGGTTTCACCGCTAAAAGGTTTGAAAACCTGTTGTCTAGTAATTTACTTACTAGTTCTTTTATGTTGTGTGGGTGTGTGTATCATGTAGCTGATGTAAGTACTATTGCTAATATTATTGGTATGCATAAAGCTTTTTCTATAAATGGAATTATTTTCTTAGGGTATATTTTCCAAAAATGAAATTTCTGGTTCAAAGAATGGACCTTTTAACGTTTCTTGAAACATTATTAAATAGCATTTGTTCTTTTGTAACACTCTTTTTTTCTTTTTTGAGACAGAACCTCACTCTGTTGCCCAGGCTGGAGTACAGTGACGCAATCTCAGCTTACTGCAACCTCTGCCTCCCGGGTTCAAGGGATTCTCCTGCCTCAGGCTCTCGAGTAGCTGGGACTACAGGCATGCACCACCATGCCTGGCTAATTTTTGTATTTTTAGTAAAGACGGGGTTTCATCGTGTTGCCCAGGTTGGTCTCGAACTCCTGAGCTCAAGTGATCCACCTGCCTTGGCCTCCCAAAGTGCTGGGATTACAGGCATGTGCCACTGGCAGCTGGCCCTTTCGTAACAGTCTTGATAACATTGTGTATTACATATAGTTTTAAAAAACTTTGACTCTTTTTGCTAAGTTAAAATGGTATCTCATTTTAATTTGGATTTTTCTTTGATTAATATTGAGAATAATAAATTTAGTATTATTTTACTGAATATCACCTATGAGAAGAAAGTGAGTGGTCTTATTTAAGAAAATCACAGTAGTATAAGAAGGAGCTTTGGCTTTCAAAAATATTGATAATTTATTTTGAAGTCAAAAGTTATATTAAAATAAATTACATAAATACGCGTTTATTGAATGTATTTCTATTTTAAGTAGCAAACATATGGAAATAAATTTAAGTAATGCACTTTGATAAAAATAACATTCTTTTCTTTTTTTTTTGAGACAGAGTTTTGCTCTTGTTGCCCAGGCTGGAGTACAATGGCGTGATCTCGGCTCACCGCAACCTCTGCCTCCTGGGTTCAAGCAATTCTCCTGCCTCAGCCTCCTGAGTAGCTGGGGTTACAGGCATGTGCCATAATGGCCAGCTAGTTTTGTATTTTTAGTAGAGACGGGGTTTCTCTATGTTGGTCAGGCTGGTCTCGAACTCCCGACCTCAGGTGATCTGCCCGACTTGGCCCCCCAAAGTGCTGGGATTACAGGCCTGAGCCACTGCACCCGACCTGAACTTTTTCATACTCTTAGGTTGTGCTTCTATATTAAGGAATCTGTAGAGGTAAGTGTTTTGAGGAAATTATATAATTATATAATTATTCTTTGTATTGCTGTGAAACAGCTTCTTAAATAACTAAAAATAGAAATCTAAAAGAGTGAAGATTTCCTCTGACCAAAGCAACATGCTGATACAAGTACTATGTGTAGGAGAGTTTATTTTCATCTTACTATGAAGAATAATAAAACAGTAATAATTTAAAAAATCGTATCTGCCTTTAATATAATAGAAATTGTAATTTTTGATAATACCTGTATTGTGTTCAGATTTCTCTCTCTCTCTCATTTTTTTAGGTATAAACAACATAAAACTGACTTGGAAACGATTCCTCAGCAGCGCCCCATTGATTTGCCCTGCCGAGTGACTGGCTGCCAGTGCAGGGCTTACCTTTATGTCCCCTTGAATGGCAGCCAGCCCATTCGCTGCAGGTGCAAACACTTTGCTGATCAGCACAGTGCTGCGCCTGGCTTTATGTGCAATATATGTGAGTTATATAATTATAAACACATAAACTCAGAATGTTTATACGTCTTCCTTGAATATTTAACGTGCCTTTGTACTGGTTGTAGAGTTAATATTCAACTGTATTAGTTGTGGAGTTAACATTCAGTTATAGCGTTAATATGAAACAACTAAGGAAAATTCAATGGATAGATACTCTAAGATTTCATTTTTGTGGAAGAATTCAGAGTTAATGGTATGCTTGATAATCATAAACCCTCATTTCATGTAGTTCAGATAATTTAAGTAATAGTAATGGATTTTAAAGACTTACCAGATGTAGGGACCGGGCGCGGTGGCTCAAGCCTGTAATCCCAGCACTTTGGGAGGCCAAGACGGGCGGATCACGAGTTCAGGAGATCGAGACCATCCTGGCTAATCCGTTGAAACCCCGTAAAAATACAAAAAACTAGCCGGACGAGGTGGCGGGCGCCTGTAGTCGCAGCTACTCGGGAGGCTGAGGCAGGAGAATGGCGTGAACCCGGGAGGCAGAGCTTGCAGTGAGCCGAGATCACGCCACTGCACTCCAGCCTGGGCGACACAGCGAGACTACGTCTCAAAAAAAAAAAAAAAAAGATTTACCAGATGTGCTCTGATTCAAATTTTCGAATACAGGAGTTGAATCAACTAAATTCTATTCATAGATTTTAAAAAAGTATTTTATAAGTCAAAAAATTTTTATGGCTTGCTGATAGATTAACATAGCATGATCATTTTAATACTTTGTTTGCAGTAGCACCCTTACCTTAATACCTGTACCCAAATTCCAACCTCTACGCCTTTTGCCCTTACACTGGATCATCCATTGAACTAGGTAGAGTGGTAGTCCATTAGTTTCCTTCAGGAGATAGTCAATCCAGTTGTTTTTATAGTAGTTTGAGTTGAAATCTTGTGATGAAGTATGTAATAAAATATTTTTAATGACAGTGGCAGGAATAAATGTTTCATTGGCTGAATATGGAAGTAGTTGGAGAAAACTGATTTATTTATATGCCTTGGTTCATATATATATATATATGTGTGTGTGTGTATATATATATATATATAAAATAATTATTGTTATTTTTTAACAGAGTTTTGCTCTTGTCACCCAGGCTGGAGTGCAGTGATGTGATTTCGGCTCACTGCAACCTCTGCCTCCAGGGTTCAAGTGATTCTCCTGCCTCAGCCTCCCAAGTAGCTGAGATTATAGGCACTCACCACCACACCTGGCTAATTTTTGTGTTTTTAGTAGAGACAGGGTTTTACCATGTTGGCCAGGCTGTTCTCAAACCCCTGACCTCAAGTGATCTCCCTACCTTGGCCTTCCAAAGTGCTGGGATTCCAGGCGTGAGCCACTGCGCCTGGCTGTTCCCATATATGTTTGTCAGAGGTGTGAGTGGGTAAAGATTTTGTTAATGGTATATTCTGGCCTCCATTACAATATGGCTTGATTTTTTCATACAACAACTTTGTTAAGACGTAATTCACATGTCATACAATTAACCTATTTAAAATGTGCAGCTTCATGATTTTTTATAATCAGCATGAATGTTGTGTAACCACTAGCACAATACACTTCAGAACATTTTTCTCACCCCAAAAAGAAACTCCATATTCACTAGGAGTCATTCCTTACTTTGCTCTCTCCCCAGCCCTAGGCAACCCATACTCTACTTTCTGTTTCTGGACTTGCCTATTCTGGACATTTTCTATAAATAGAATCATAGAATATGTGGTCTTTTGTGACTGACTTCTTTCATTTAGCATGATGTTTTCATGATTCATCCATGTAGCCTATATCAATACTTCTTTCCTTTTTATTGCTGAACAAGATTCCACTACACCCTTTGTGTCTACAAGGCTTGGCCTTCCAATTTGGGCTTTTATGGGGAGGTTGATCTGTAGGAAGATTTCCTGCATTATCTATTCACCTGGGTCCTGGGCCACTGGGCCTGTCCCTGCCATGCGCTTTTAATTCGCGTTTTTGAGGAGAGGGCCTGCATTACCTGGCTCTTCAAGTTTCTTTTAGTGTTTGTTGTTTTGCAGTTTTTTTTTTTTTTTTTTTTTCCTGTGTTGTATCCGGTTACTACTTTAGCATGTTTTAGAAGAACAGTGGCTAGGAAGGAGTTCAGTGGCTGGAGGTAAGAGTTACAGGGGCCAGAGGATCTAGATTCAGCTGGCTTTTGCCAGGCTAAGTGTCTTTAGGGTAGACAACATAGGACGTTTAAGAATTTAACTCCCTTTACATCTTGATTCAGGTTCCAAGTGTTCAGGATTCCATAGCTGCTTCACTTGTGCTTGTGGTCAGCCTGCATATGCCCATGACACAGTAGTGGAAACTAAGCAAGAAAGATTGGCTCAGGGAAAACCAGTGGGACAGGATGTTCCTTATGCAGCCATGGGAGGATTAACTGGTTTCAGCTCACTGGCGGAAGGCTACATGCGGTTAGATGACAGTGGGATTGGTAAGTGATGCTATGTGGAATGTGAGCCCATTGTATTGTTTTTGTGTATGCTAGCAATAGTGAAGGCTTATATTTGTTAAGCACTTCATAGTATTTTTCTTTCAGAAAACATTCTCTCATTTGATTTTTATTTTTAAAAGAGGTTTTTAAAATTTTTATTTTATTTTTTATTTTTTCAGACCTATTTAGTATCCAAGAAAGAGGTTTTATTGCTACCATACAATGTATTGTCATTATAGAATTTAGAAAGCACGTGGCAGAGATCATTCTCATCCCAGTACTTGTACTCAAATTTGAATCCACATCTCCATTGTTTGAAATGGCTGAATAATATTTATTTTATTTGATATGATATAGTTTACCTGTTACTCTACTGTAGGTAACTTATGCTATTGTATCCATTTCATTTTGGAAACAGTAGGCTTATGTTCATGTGTGTATATGAACATACATGTATGTACATGTAATCACTTCTGTAGTAAAATATGTATGTGTGTGTGTGCATACACATATATCTTCTTCATACATATATGTTGTAAATAATGTAGGGAAAGTTTAATAGGATCTATTCTAAACTGTTAAAGGTAGATGGATCCTTCTGAGAGCTGAGTGGGACTGGGGAGCAGAATGTGTTACCTGTCTACTCGAAACACTTGTGTGTAAGTTTTTTTTTTTTCTGTTTTACAACAAGCATGTATTTTTTCATTTAAAAATTACATAAATACAAGTGTATATTTTCTTTTCTTTTTTTGTTTTTTTTGAGACAGAGTTTCACTCTCGTGGCCCAGGCTGGAGTGCAATGGTGCGATCTCGGCTCACTGCAACCTCAGCCTCACAGGTTCAAGCGATTCTCCTGCCTCAGCCTCCCGAGTAGCCAGGATTACAGGCATGTGCCACCACACCTGGCTAATTTTGTATTTTTAGTAGAGATGGAGTTTCTCCATGTTGGTCAGGCTGGTCTCAAACTCCCGACCTCAGGTGATCCGCCTGCCTCAGCCTCCCAAAGTGCTGGGATTACAGGTGTGAGCCACCATGCCAGGCCCATACAAGTGTATATTTTCTTGTAAAATATTCAAACAATAGAAATTAAGTGGAAAAATAAGAGAAATTAATTGCAAAGCACCCTTGAATACTTCTCTTTGTCTGATTCTTTCCCCGAGGGTAATTTGCTATCATCAATTAATTTTTCTCTTTAACATACAATTTTACTATTTACTTTTTAATTTTTAAAAATTATTTCTATTTATTGTTTAAGAGATAGGGTCTTGCTATGGTGCCCAGGCTAGGTTTGAACTCCTGGGTTCAAGCGATCCTCCAGTCTCAGCCTTCCTAGTAGCTGGGATTACAGGCATGCATCACCATGCCTGGCTTTACTTGTTTTTTAGCTTAGAAAAATGTAAAGGCCTGTTGTGTCAGGACACACAAGTCTACTTCATTCTTTTTAACTGCTGTATGGTATTCCACACTATAGATATAGCAGTTTATCTAATCATTTCCTTGTTCATGACATTTAGATTTCCATCTTTTTTTGCCATTACAAGCAATCTTGCCAAGAAAATCCTTGAATTTGTCTGCCTGTATCCTTACATGAATTTGACTCTAAGGTAGATACAGAGAAGTAAAACTACTGGAGCATGTTAACCTGTAAAATTCTAATACATTCTGCCAAAATGTCCTCCAGAAATGCTCTGCTTGTGTTTACTTCCTCTACTGATGCTTTAGCTTGCCTATTTTCCTCACATTTAGGCTAATCATTGATATTATTAAACTTGATTTTTTTGCCAGTCTGATGTGTAAAATTGTCATTGTTGTTTCAATTTGATTTCCCTGGTTATTTGTGAGACAGGGATCTTTTCGTATTTATTGGCCATTTCACTTTCTGTGAATGGCCTATTCATATCCCTTGCTCATTTTTTTTGTTTTTATCTTTTATCATTGACTTATAGGAAGTCTTTTTATTATTCTGTATTTTTTTTTGTTATTTATTTTGCAGACATTTTCTCTCAACCTGTCATTTGTCTTTTAACTTAATTTTTTTTTTCTTTACAGTTTAAAAATTTTGGAGACAGGCCTTTCCTATTTCAGTTTTATAAATATATTCTCCTGCATTTTATTTTAGTATTTTTTTATGTTTAGCTTTTTCATATATCTGTAATTTATTTTTTGTGAAAGTGTGAGGTAGATGTGTCTAACTTCAGTTTTTGTCTAAATTGATGGCCAGTTATTCAAGCACCATTCTTTCCCAAATCATCTGACACGCTACCGTATTCTTTATTTTTAGTTTACTTTAAGTTCTGGGATACGTGTGCAGAACATGCAGGTTTGTTACATAGGTATACATGTGCCATGGTGATATGCTGCAGCTATCAACCTGTCGTCTAGGTTTTAAGCCCTGCATGCATTAGCTATTTGTACTAATGCCCTCCCTCCGCCCGCCTCCCACCCTCCGACAGGCCCCTGTGTGTGATGTTCCCCTCTCTGTGTCCATATATTCTCATTGTTCACCTCCCACTTGTGAGTGAGAGCATGCGGTGTTTAGTTTTCTGTTCCTGCATTAGTTTGCTGAGAATGATGGCTTCCAGCTTCATCCATGTCTCTGCAAAGTACATGAACTCATTCTTTTTTATGGCTGCATAGTATTCCATGGAAACTCTACCACATTCTGTCATATTCTCCATTTTGTACCATTGGCCCATTTGTCTATCCTGTGCCAATATTTTATACATATATATATATTTATTTTTTTGTGATTGCTTCCTGGTATGTCATGATATTTGATGTGGTAAATTCCTCGTCTTTGTGATTGTTTTCAAGATTGTCTTGATATTTTTGTGCATTTTCTCTTCTAGGTAATTTTATAACTAGCTTCTTAAATTTCATAAGTAAATTCTTCTGCAGTTTTATGGGTGCGTAATTGTGTAAGGTTCAAGCAACAGCTAAAGAAAACCCAACTACCAGTGTCAAAAAATGATGATGATGATGATGATGTTTGATGACTGCAACTCTGTACTACCAGCAGTTGTTTGAGCCACATCACATATATTATTTCACTTAATCCTCACAACAACTCTGTGAGTTAGATTATTATTCCTAGTTTACAGATGAGGATACGCAGCACAGAGAAGTAAAATAACATGCTCAGTGTTATTCAACTAAGAAGTAGCAGGGTTGGGTTCAACCTGAAGATTTCTGTGGGCTCCCTAGTCTGCCACATTGTTGGCTATTTGTGTACAGCTACTATGTTGTTTTCGTTACTGCAGCTTTATAATAAATAAATTAGTTAATATTTATGACTTCATTTTATTGCTTCAGAATTTTCCTGACCTATTCTTATGTTTTAATTCTTTCAGAACTTTGGCATCATTTTGTTAAGGTATAAACACTCTATTATTTTAATTGAGATCACATTGAATATGTAGATGAATGTAGAAATAATTTTTTTTTTTTTTTTAAGATGGAGTTTTGCTTTGTTTCCCAGGCTGGACTGCAGTAATATGATTATAGCTCACTGCAGCCTTGAACTCCTGGGCTCAAGCAGTCCTCCCACCCAACCTCCTGAGTAGCTGCAACTATGGGCACATGCCACTATGCCTGGCTAATATTTTACTTTTTATATTTTTTTTAGAGACAGAATCTTACTATGTTGCTCAGGTTGGTCTCAAACTCCTAAGGTCAAGTAATCTTCCCACCTCAGACTCCTGAGTAGCTGGGACTACAGGTGTAAGCCACCATGTAGAACTGATATTTTTAAATATTATCTTTTCATTTATTTGTCTGTGCAGCTAAGTGGAATTCTGAAGTTGTTATCCCAGAAGGCTTGCACAACCTTATTAAGTTTATTTCTAGGTATTTAATTTTTTTTTGAGATGGTGTCTCGTTCTGTCTCCCAGGCTGGAGTGCAGTGGCATGATCTTGGCTCACTGCAATCTCTGCCTCCTGGGTTCAAGTGATTCTCCTGCCTCAGCCTCCTGAGTAGCTGGGATTACAGGCGCGTGCCACCATGCCCGGCTAATTTTGTATTTTTAGTGGTGGCGTGGTTTTACCATGTTGGCCAGGCTGGTCCCGAACTCCTGACCTCAGGTGATCTGCCTGCCTCGGCCTCCCAAAGTGCTGGGATTACAGGTGTAAGCCACCATTCCTGGCCATTTTTTCATTAGTATCATACATGAGATATTTTTTCTTCCATTATATCTTCTTACTGATTATTGTTTGTTTATAAAAAAGCAAAAGTGTTTCATTGCTTTTGTTACCATTCTTATTACTTAATCTTAGAGTTTTTACTCAATTTTTAGTTTATTTTTAAAAAATAATGTTTTTGCCTCTTCCTTCCCAATATTTATGACTCTTATTCTTGACCAGTCAAAATGGCTAGTACTTCCAGAACAATGCTAAATAATGGTGGTAGCTGGCATCTTTGCCTTTTAGAGACTTCTAGTATTTTAACACTAAGTGTCTTCAAAGGTATAGTCATGTGCCACTAAACGATGGGGATACATTCTGGAAAATGCATTGTTAGTTGATGTTTGTTATGTGAACATCATAGAGTGTACTTACATAAACCTAGATGGTAGAGTGTACTACACACCTAGCTATGTGGTATAGTCTTGTGTTCCTAGGCAACAAACTTGTTCATCATGCTACTGTACTGAATGCTATAGACAGTTGTAACACAATGGTATTTGTATAAATTTTTCTAAATATAGAAAGGGTACAGTAAAAATATGGCATAAAAAAATAAAATGGGCCATGTGCAGTGGCTCATGCCTATAATCCCAGCATTTTGGGAGGCTGAGGCAGGCAGATCGCTTGAGCCCAGGAGTTTGAGACCAGCCTGGGCAACATGGCGAAACCATGTCTCTACAAAAATACAAAAAATTAGCCGGGCATGGTATTGTGTGTGTGCCTGTAATCCCAGCTACTTGGTGAGGGCTGAGGAGAGAGGATCACGTGAGCCTGGGATGTAGCGGTTGCAATGAGCTGTGATGGCACCATTACCCTCCAGCCTGGGTGACAGAGCGAGACCCTGCCTCAAAATAAATCAATAAAATGTTACACTATTATAGGGCAGCCCTATTATAATCTTATGGGGCCACCATTGTATATGCAGCCCATTGGTGACTAAAATGTCTTATGTGACACATGATTTTATAGAGAAAGGAAACCTCTTCCTTTTGGTCCATGAAAGAAGGTGGGGTGAAGAAAGGTGAGAGTTAAGGAGAGGAAATATAAGATGTTTTTGTTCTGATTTCAGGTGTAAAGGAACCTAGGGGCAGAGGGACTCCAGATGTATTAGCCATGTAGATACCTAGACCGAGGAAACCTCTTGCTGGAATTTGGTTCCTTTTTGATGTGGAAGGAGTCCATAATTTCCAGCTCTCTGGGGGTGTGAGAAGGCAGCTGACCTGTGAGTCAGTGGGCCAGCCATGCCATCTATCATAGCAGGGGGCAGAGCTGGAGGTGGGTCCCCTAATCTGGGGGACTCAATAGAGGAAGTGACAGGTATTGAGGGAGTCTATACTTACAGTGGGAGCAAGCATAAGGCTACCAGGCCCTATCAAGCTGAGAGACCAACTTATTAAATTCAAGTTGAGCATTTGAGATCAGTAGCACTTGCAACCGCCAGAGGGCAGCACAAGGACCTGCGTGGGCCAGAGCCTTCTCTCCTATTCCCACATGCCCCATGGGAGCCACTGGGGATGGAGGGGGCGGCACGGGGAGAGACGGAGCAATCATCCCACACTGTTGATAAGATGGGGCTAACTTCTAACCCAGTTAGGACCAAAAGTTCACTTTTTCCTTCACCTGTGGTATAGAGATAGCAGTGTGGGGGGAAGGTGGTGGTTTGTGAAGAAGGCAGAGCAGCTACACATTTTCTCCGAAGCTTCCTTCCTTTTGTTCCAGAAGTCAATGTATTTAGCAATTAGTCTTTCTGGTCCAGAAGTCAATGTATTTAGCAATTAGTCTTTCTAGTTTATGGTTTGGAGTTGTGGATATTTCCTCATTTCACTGAAGAAGACACTTTCTTCTTTATTTTTCATACTTTGTTTTCAGATGGCTTCCTAGTAAGGAATAAAGTAAAAATACACTTATTCTACCCTTTTCAGCCAGAGGTTCCTTATTATGAATGTCTTGCTTTTGATAGTGTTTTATAACTATTATATATTAAGGTTTTGAACTTCTATGCTAACATAGGTACATAATATTCTTTTCTTCTGTGAAAATTTCTCAGAAATGTGCAGAATACTTTTACCCGTTTGCTTTTACTTTATATGTCAGACAAAAATCTAAATAAAAAGACAGAGTCTCACTGTGTTGCCCAGGCCGGATCCAGTGAAGTGATGTGATCATAGCTCACTGCAGCCTCAAATTCCTGGGCTCAAGTGATCTTCCTGCTTTACCCTTCCAGGGAGGTAGGACTACAGGCACACGCCACCATGTCCAACTAATTTTTATATATATTTTTTTGGTAGAGATGGGGTCTCCCTATATTGCCAAGACTGGTCTTGAACTCCTGGCCTCAAGCAGTCCTCTTGCTTTGGCTTTCCAAAGTGTTAGGATTACAGGCATGAGCCATTACACCCAGTCTAATTTTTTTTTTCTTTTTATAGAAGGAATTTCTAATGATTCTGCTGAGGTTCCAATTTATTTATATTAGAAGTAATAACTTGTTTGTATCCCTGTAAATATTTAATTTTTATTCTCCATGTGTTGTTTTCTCAGGTGCACCTTCAGTTGAATTTTTAGAATCTCCCATTACGGCAGTAGACAACCCATTCCTAAAAGCGTTTCAAGCATCATCTAGTTCTTCTCCAGAGACATTAACAGATGGTAATGAAATGAAGTTTAGAACTGTTTTTGGATGTAGTAAATTAGAATATGGAGCTTTGATTTGTTTTCCAGGCATCTCTCTTTTTTTCATTATTACAATAATTTAATTTCAAGTTAAGCTATCATTTTACTTTCTTTTATGTAAGCCACACACTGAGAAAAAGCAAGCAACTTCATTTTGTGTTGGGAAAAATAGCTAACTCCGAGAATTTAAAGGATTCTGGTAATACTATAATTTGAAGTTTTAAACCTTGTTCTGGTACATGCTCTGGTGTCTGAATAAGAGGGCCCTCTGGTGGACTAATTGCCTTTGGGTTTTCCCAAAGAGGCGTAATCCAGTGATAACCATAGGCTAGCAGGGTTTTATCATGTATAAATTAAGAGCAGGTACAATTCATTTTTAAGCACCAGTATTCTATATTTCCCTTACTGAAAACAAGAAGAATAAATTTTGTATGACTTATTAGGTATTTAAAATTTAGTATTTTAGAATATTTTAAAATGAGAATTTTCTTTGATTTATCTGTATTTTCATACACCTAGACATTCCCCACAAGGGATTTTAAGGCTGCTTGCAAAAGCAACATACAACTTAGTACATAGTGATAAAATATATATAGAAGTAAGAAGCCAAGAAAAGGACACAACTGTGGCAGCTTTCAAGGTTGATGTAATTGCTTTGTTTAAACTTCAGTTTTGACTGAGTTTAGTGGCAGCCAAGGCACAGAGGAAAGTGCAGTCAATTACATGTTTTTCTTTCTTTTTTTTTTTTTTTTTTTTTTTGAGACGGCAGTCTCAGCTCTGTCCCCCCAGGCTGGAGGTGAGTGGCCGGATTCTCAGCTCATCTGCAAGCTCCGCCTCCCTGAGTCTTCACAGCCATTCTCCGGCCTCGCCTCCCAAGTAGCTTGGGACTACAGTGCCCGCCACCTCGGCCCGGCCTTAGTTTTTTGCTATTTCTTAATAGAGACGGGGTTTCACCGTGTTAGCCAGGGATTGCGGTTCTTCGAGTCTCCTGACCTCGTTGATTCGCCCGGTCTCGGCCTCCCAAAGTGCTGGGATTACAGGCTTGAGCACCGCCCCGGCCGGCCACATGTTTTTCTTTCTTAGACAGGAGGAAGCCTGGAGTTTCCTCAGTCTAATGAAGTTGTTTACACCAATGCTTGGAATTTTTTTTGTTTGTTTTTTTGTTTTTTGGGACAAGTTCGTTGCCTATTGTCCAAGCGGTTGGCTGAGTGGTGTGATCAGCGCTCGTCAGCTGTTACCTTTGAAACTCCAGGGCCTCAAGTGATCCTTCCTTGCTCAGCCTGTCCACATGAGCTTAGGAGTACAGGTCCCGCACCACCTGGGTAAATTAAAAAAACTTATTTTTTTTTTTTTGCAGCAGGGTCTTGCTTTGTTGACTAGTTTGGTCTCAAACTCGTGGCCTCTAGCTATCTTCCTGCCACAGCTTCCCAAAGCACTGGGATTGTAGCTATGTATCACTGCTCCTGGCCTGGCATGCTGGATTTTAAGTCAGTATAATGATCCTCAGTGATTAGTGGCTAAAGTAAAAGTTGCTGCTGTATTTCAGCAAATACAGCAGACATTTGCTTGTTTCCGATAGTCACCTTTTCTTTCTTTCTTTTTTTTTTTTTTTTTGAGACAGAGTCTTGCTCTGTTACCCAGGCTGGCGTATAGTGGTGTGATCTTGGCTCACTGCAACCTCCACCTCCCTAGCTCAAGTGATCTCTCACCTCAGCCTCCTGAGTAGCTGGGACTACAGGAATGCACTACCATGTCCAGCTAAATTTTGAATTTTTTGTAGAGACAGGGTTTTGCCATGTTGCCCAGGCCAGTCTTGAACTCCTGAGCTCAAGCAATCCACCTGCCTCCACCTCCCAAAGTGTTGGGACTACAGGTGTGAATCACTTCACCTGGCCTGATAGTCACCTTTGAAGAGTCGGGATATACCATTTTACTAGATAAATGGTAATATGCCATTATAATGCAACTCAGTGTAGATGAGTCTGGAAGAGGTTTGGCTCAAATGGTCCCACATGATCCAGGGATAGACCCAGAGTTTCCAGAGGAATGGGTAGATAACACTTATTCTAAACATCCATCCCTTCTGACTCTTCTCAGTAAGACTTTTGTGAAAGATAGTCGACAGACTGTAGCTGTACTCTGGTGATTGTCTGGAGTTACATGTTGCTGATTGAGGGTGAATTCATATGCTTTAGAAACTGAAGCGCGAGTGTTCAGGTTGCTATTCTGCTTTGGAAATGAAGGGACCCAGTGAAGACATTCACTTGCAACAAAGGTGAACTTTTCTGTGAAATTAGGCTCTTGGGGCACCTACCAAGAAAACCAGACTTTTTCCTACAGAAGCAATTTTTAAAATTCCTTTCAGCATGTAAATCAGTGCTTGATCCATTTTACAAAGTGAGTACCGTGAAAAATGGATAAAATAGTTGAGTTTTGAAACATTTTGAAGCAGGTACTATCATTACTATGGTTGCCAATACCAAACCTCAATAATTACTTTTGTGCATTATCTCAAAGTGTAACATGGATTTCTAGTTATAAAATGTAAAAAGTAGTTGGACAAAACTAAGTGTACTCTTATACGGAATAGCTATTTAATATGAACTGTGGACTGTTTGGGAATGTTTGCTAGTGAAAAACACTTTTGTCCTGTGATGCCATTCTCTCTAAAAGAGAATTAGGTAGTATGACCAATTATTCATTTAGGCCATTTTTGGTTTGAAAAATAAAACATTATCACCTGGCAGGAGAAAATTTTCTTTCTTTTATTTCAGGGGAATATGTAATGATATAAATACATTACTTAGATTTTTTTTTTCCTTGTTAGTAGGTACAAGTAGTCAAGTTTCTTCATTAAGGAGACCTGAAGAGGATGATATGGCTTTCTTTGAGAGACGATACCAGGAAAGGGTAGGTTTTTGAGGAAATCCACTTGCATTAAGCATTTACTTGTAGCAAAAGCACTAGAACGATTATATATTGAATGTGGAACATCCTTGAAAATAATTTATAAAGTCTTTACTCACAGTTGGTATTAGGCCTTGAGGCTTATTAGAATAATTTACGCAGAAACAGGGCTAGAGAATAACATGATATTTAATACACTGGTTTATTTATGAAGGCCATAAAGATTGGATAAATGTGCAAATAAAATTGTCAGTAATAAACATCAATATCAGCAGATTTGTAAATTATATGTATCTTGAATTTCTTTTTTTATATGTGTACCTTTTTTATTTAAAAATATTTGTCAAATAAAGATTGAGTATATTTTGAATTCTTTTTTTTTTTTGAGACGGAGCCTTTCTCTGTTACCCAGGCTGGAGTGCAGTGGCGCGATCTCGGCTCACTGCAAGCTCCGCCTCCCGGGTTCACGCCATTCTCCTATCGCAGCCTCCGGAGTAGCTGGGACTACAGGTGCCCGCCACCACACCCGGCTAATTTTTTGTATTTTTAGTAGAGATGGAGTTTCACCGTGTTAGCCAGGATGGTCTCGATCTCCTGAACTCGCGATTCGCCTGCCTCGGCCTCCCAAAGGAGTGGCATTACAGGCGTGAGCGACCGCGCCTGGTGTCTGTTTTGAATTCTTAATATGTATTACTTATTCTTCTTAGAGGCTTTTAGGTGTATCCAGACTCGTTCAAATTACCCAATACACACCTGGGCACAGAGGCTCACGCCTGTAATCCCAGCACTTTGGGAGGCCAAGGCAGGCGGATCACCTGAGGTTAGGAGTTTGGGACCAGGCTGTCCAACATGGGGAGACCCCGTCTCTACTAAAAAAAAATACAAAAATTAGCCGGGCATGGTGGTGTACGCCTGTAATTCCAGCTATTTGGGAGGCTGAGGCAGGAGAATCGCTTAAACCTGGGAGGCAGAGATTACAGTGAGCCAAGATTGTGCCACTGCGCTCCAGCCTGGGTGACAGTGAAACTCCATTAAAAAAAAAAAAAAAAAAAAAAAAAATTACCCAATATTCTTTAAGAAACGGAACATTAAACATAAACATATTTTAACAATTTCCAGGGCTCAACAAGTGAAGTCTTGATGTGTTCACAGCTGTAAGTGAAAGTGACTCAGTTCACCAGGGTGTAAATGCCTTGGAGATAAGCACAGTGTTTTGTTCATCTTTATATTTTCCCTAGCACCTAGCACAGTGCTTTGTGTGTAATAGGTTTTTAGTGAATTATGAATTTATGGAAAATTAAAAAAGTTAACACAAATATAATTGATACTTTCATACATGTCAACTTCTTATACTTTTGATCTGTTTCATGGCCATGTTCATATTTGAGAGTTTTATTTTGTTTTTTTGTTTTACTAGATGAAAGAATGTTGGCTTAATGAGGTGTGGGGAATAGTATTTCAGCCACATGGCTGCAAGTACTTTCTTTAGGGTTGTTGTTTCGTGGACATCATTATCTCTCCAGCCGGGTAATAAACTCCACAAAAGTAAAGATACTCCCGCCACTTTTTGTTGTATCCTGTACAACTCTTAGACAAGAGCTTGTTGAGTAACTGAAAGGATGGAAAAAGTTGAACATTAAGTAAATTCAGGAAGTAAGTTGGAGACAGAGTAGCTTAAGAATTTTGAAGTCGAAGGGGAGAGGACAGAATTTAAGTCAGAGCTAGAAAATAGAGATTTTTGCAGTGATGGAAACATTCTATTTCCATGCTTTAGTCACTCTCCATATGGGGCTCTATAAGGCTAAATTTAAATTTTAAAAATTAAATGTTTATTTCCTCAGTCATACCAATCACATTTCAAGTGCTTAGTAGCCACATGTGGCTAGTGGCTTCCTTATTGGATAGCACAAGGCATTTCCATCACTGCAGAAAGTTCTTTTCAAAAGTTGTGGTTTAAGGGTCTGTTTGGGCTGCTGTAACAAAATACCGTAAAGCTGGGTGGGTTATCAACAATAGAAATTTATTGCTCACAGTTTCAGAGACTGGGAAGTCTAATCAAGGTGCCGGCAGATTTGGTGTCTCGTGGAGGCCTGCTTCCTGGTCCGCAGATAGCATCTTCTTGCCGTGTCCTCATATGATAAAAGGGGCATGATGGGTCTTGAGGCCTCTTTTATAAGGACACTTATCCCATTCATGAGGGCTCTGCACTCATGATCTAATCACTGCCCACAGGGCCCATCTCCTAATACCGCTACATTGGAGGTTAGGATTTCAACATGAATTTTGTGGGGCTAAAAACATTCAGACCATAGCAAGGGGAAAGAGGTGTGGTAGGATGTCAGCGAGGGAGATGAAATGGTCAGAGTGATGGAAGAAAAGGCAACTTTTGCAGCAGCATCAGGGTATAAAGTTATAATCAAATCACTCTTCATTCTTGGAATACACACACTCATGGCCAAGTTTTAGTTTTTCCTCACAGGCTTATGGGAGACTAGGTTCTAGAATTCCTTCCATCCCTTCTCCAGAAACCTGGAGTTTTGACTGCTTTGAAAACATGCCAATGGTGTTTGCTTGTGAGAAGATAAGGAGAGGAATTCTTATTTGTGAATGTTTTAAAGGATATACCTGGCCTGTCAAGATTGTTTATTATAGGTTGGGTGTATTATGCCTGTAATCCCAGCATTTTGGGAGGCCGAGGTGGGCGGATTATGAGGTCAGGAGTTTGAGACCAGCCTGGCCAACACGGTGAAACCACATCTCTACTAAAAACACACACACACACACACACACACACACACACACACAGTTAGCTGGGCATGGTGGCATGCGCCTGTAATCCCAGCTACTCAGGAGGCTGAGGCAGGAGAATCGCTTGAACCCAGGAGGCAAGGTTGCAGTGAGCCGAGATTGTGCTACTGCACTCCAGCCTGGGCGACAGAGCAGCACTCTGTCTTGGGGGGAAAAAAAAATAACATAAACCTGGAATTTATGGATTTATGAGATGTAGTTTATAACTTTCTAGCCTCTGTGATTTATAGATTTATGAGATACAGCTTATAAACTCTCCACCATGTGTGATTAATGGAGTATAAAAACTAAGAAGCCTATACCTAAATAACTTCCTCTGAGGTGACACGTACCATACGTGCTATTAGTAGTCGTCTTTTACTCCAAAACCATTTGGATCATTAGGAAGCTGTGTGTCTGATAGTTCAGAGCCTCTCGCAAGAGCAATGCCATGTGTGTATCTGGTTTTTGCTTGCATTCTTTGCTAATCATTGGCAACATCTGGCAGGGAAGAATCTATGCTGAGTGTAAGTGGGCTTTGATAAGTGAGACCTCTGTGGTAACATAGTTTACCCACTGCTTTTAGATCCTCTTGAGAAGTTGCTTTTCTATATCAGTTCAAGTTATTTTCTTCTGCTGTGGATGATTCTTGGTCTCTTTTCCCCAAGAAAGGAGAATTTTATTAAGGAAACAAATATCAAAGGTCTGCTAGGTGCAAAGCACTGTATTCCTGCCAGGAAATTTAAAAAACAAAAGAAAACAACAAAAACGAAAACAAAAAAACAAAACAAACAAAAGAAAGAGGAGCAGGTATCTTTGCTTTTAAGACTCTAGATGGTTTGCTGAGGCGGTGGCTCACGCCTGTAATTCCAGCACTTCGGTAGGCCGAGGTGGGCTGATCACTTGAGGTCAGGCATTCAAGATGAGCCTGGTGAACATGGTGTAAACCCATCTCAACTAAAAATACGAAAATTAGCTGGGTGTGATGGTGCATGCCTGTAATCCCAGCTACTTGGGAGGCTGAGGCAGGAGAATCACTTGAACCTGGGAGGCAGAGGTTGCAGAGTTGAGATTGTGCTACTGCACTCCAGCCTGGGCGACAGAGCGAGACTCTGTCTCAAAAAGAAAAAAAAAAAAAAGACTAGATGGTTGATGGATGTGTTTGCTACGTACTATTTCAAATGACAAACACTGCTTTGGTTTTTGTTTGTATTTTGGCATCTTTGCTTCTTAAAAATTTATGTTTCTACAAATCTAGCACTTGGCTTTAAATGAGTGAGGAAAAGGGTCTAGCATTTATCGAGTGCTTAAGTGCCTAGATCTTTATATATATTATTTACAGCTTTAGAACAACCCTGAGGAGTAGCTATTACTATGACATTTTTTTTTTTTTTTTTACAAATGTAAAACTGTTAAATAAATTGCCCTAAATGCTTAATAAATGGTAGAAGTAGGATTCACTTTCTCTTCTATTTGACATCCAAACCTATAATTTTTGCCCTAGAATAGGGTATTTTTTGGGGGTCCTTCAGATGACCTGTTGTTTGATACAGTTTGCAAGAATGATATGAGTGTATGGTGTCCGAATGAGGTTCCCAACCCAACTCAAAGAGGCGAGAGAAGGAATAAATGTGGAGGAGACAGAGGTTAGATTAATCTGGTTTTATGATTGGAAGCTTGTATTACTTGCAGTTTGATAAGATTGGATAGACTGGTTTTACCAGGTCTCTCCTGGTTTCTTGATATTATTCCTATCAGTTCAGAAGGTCGGAGGCCCTGCCTTCTACCATGGGCCCTGACTTGCTCTCCCCTTCTCTTGCAGAGGTAAGGCAGTGGGGTTGCCTCTGGAAATTGGTGTGTGTGAATGTGAGTGGTAGTGAGTAGGAGGCAGGTTGGATTTGTGTTCTCTGGGGTCTTTAATCCCCTGGAAAAGGTCTCTATGTGTCTAAAAAGTTAGAAGGCCACTGCTTAGGGTATGTGTGCTGCTTTTTTGCTTTAACTACAATGGAGGAGGAAAAGGCTTTTAGAAAGGTAACTGGGAATATAGAAACCAGAATTATAGGAAACTATCCTTAAAGCAGTCCACGTTCCAGAGAGAATCCAGGTGGATTAGGTGCATTATGTAACTCTGTAGGGAATGTGCATAGGCTGGATGTAAGTTTAGTCATTTTAGCACTTGTAATTTTAGTGGCAATTGAAATTAATTTTTTTTCTCTAAAGCAATATTCATGTTACTTTTATTAAAATGCTTCTGTAAAATTAAAATAAAACCATTTAAAAATGTGTAATTATGTCCCTTTAACAGATTTTGGCTTTTGTATTTAGCAGCTTAATAACTGTGGAATGGTTGTGACATGAATCTGAATGAGTTTTCTGCAAGTTTTTATTTTCTTTAGAATGGTTTACAAGTTATATCAATAAATATGTTAAATTTACAGATGAAAATGGAAAAGGCTGCTAAGTGGAAAGGAAAAGCTCCATTGCCATCAGCTACAAAACCTTCATGAAGACTATTGGATAAATTAAAACCATCATCCAAGTATCTTTTTCATGTTTATTTAAATGTAATAATACAGTTTATTTTTCCTGAAATGATTTACTTTTTTTTTTTTTTTTTTTTTACTGTATAAATGTCTTTTGGGATGTTTCCTTAATTTATTTAAATAACTAAAAATGCCTATTACTTTTGTCAAAACTCATAATTTACTACTTTGTATGTACCTTTCTCTCTCCTGACAAATGAGGTTATTTTATATGTCAGTCTGAGAGTACAGTAAATGTTTTTAGTACATAATAATTTAACTGTTTCAGGCTATTTAAACAAAGATATTATCAAGGGTTTCGGACAAATATATAAGAGCCACTTTTTTGTCATTCAAAATAGTAAGTTAAAAACAAGAAAACAAAGCAAACAAAAAATAGTTAAAATCTTTTTTTTATTTTTCAAACTTTGTAATGTTATGCTTTTAAATAAAAAATGTATCTTAAAATTATACAACCATTTTCTAGTGATATTACTGATTTTTTTTTTCAATCATCTTTCTCAGGCCGAAGCTATCTACTGATTTTTAAGTTGTGTTGTCAACTACCCATTGTCTGTAACGTACGTACTGGGCACATCTTGTGTGCCACTGCAAATCCTCTTGGCCCCATTTCTTACTCCATTACTGCTGTGGAACACTTTCCAGCAGACTTCTGATAGCAGAAGCCATTTGATGGCACCTTGTCTTGGGCCCATGTCACGGCTCTCTTGCTTCCTTCTGCAGGGATCTTCTGACACTGTGGCTTGGGATGTCCACTGGAACCCCACTGTATCATACATATGCAGCCCAAAGATGTTGGGGAGCTAGTGACTTTGGGGCCACTCTTGACTAATGGGAGGTGGAAGCCCGATAGATAAGTGCTCTCCCTTCCCTCTGCTGGGAAGACAGTTCTGCAATGCATTTCATAAACTTCCTCAGAAAATCCTATCACGTTGAGCTCCAGTCACCCATAGCAGTGGCCAACTCAATAATAATACATCCCTATGTTATCTTTCTCTTTTTTCCTTTTCCACTCTTCTACCCCTTCCTCTGGTTCCCTCAGATCACTTCCCAAATAAATTACTTGTATAACAACACTTACAGGTATAAGAACATTTGTCTTAGGCTTTGCTTTTGGGCAAGGGATAAACTCAAGCTAAGATGGTAAGTACCAGGAATGGCCTTTGACAGCAAAGACTCAGGATAGTATCCTGTGACTGGATCAGTTACTTCAGTGGATTTGGATGAAGTGCACGTGGGAGGGGAAGTGCTAGGTTATGCAGTAGCTGTGCCATTACAATGAAATGGGACTAGTGGAAATTATAAAGATTAAGTATTCACTTCCAACTTTGAAATGCTTTAGGAGCTTTGAAAAAGAAAATGACACAGGCTCACGATAGCCATTTAACTCAAGGAATGCTGTGAAAGCCAGAGCCCCTCTATAGCACTCTCACGAAACTCATCTGCAGATGCAGAGCATCTAATAGTAAAGGTGGGGCCCAAATCTAATAGTAAAGGTGGCAAGGCTGCAAAGGAGACAGAATGCACAGCCTTGCTAGTCCCCAGCCAAGTCAGTGCTGACACAAAAAGAATGGAACCCTAAATCACAAAAAGAATGGAACCCTAAATCACAGGATGGGGACATTTGTGTTGGTGAGCTGAGAATCTTGAATCCTCAGGTTTCCATGAACTCTGAGCTGGCACAAGCTGTGTCCTCCAATTTTCTAGTGGAGAATAGCCTGCCCTTACCTTGAGATTCTGTAAAGGCTTTATCTGAGGCAGTTGCATCACAAAGTAACACTTATCCTCCTCAAGATCCACCCTTGTTACCGCTCATTGACTCCAAAGTAATAACTAGGATCAGGTGTTAGCAAACCCTAAGTTGGGGAATATAGTCCTTCCTCTAGGAGGATAGGTTTCACTCTGAATCAACTGCAGATTCTGGTTAAAATATATTGGGAAGAACCCAGGAAACATGTCTGAGAGTAGATCTTGAGGATATTGAATCAAGGGGTGGGGTGAAGGTGGAATATAAGGCTTGATAGGAGAGAGTAACATGGGGGCACTCACTCATGATGCATGATTTAATTCCCTGGCAAGAATTTTTGGAGTTGCTCCTAACACAATGCAAGGATGGCATATAGAAGATATGATAGGCATGCTAGCAGTTATCTGACATAGTATTGAGGATGCAGTCAGAAAGCTCAGGGATGTATTTGTTGTTTGAAACTGGAGAAGCTATCACCTGAGTTTTCCCTGGGAGGGCCCAGATGATATTCATAACTAAGGCAAAAAAATATATAATGGTAGTCAGGTACAGTGGATCACATCTGTAATCCCAGCACTTTGGGAGGCTGAGGTGGGAGGATTGCTTGAGCCCAAGAGTTCAAGACCAGCCTGGGCAACATAGTGAGAACTCGTCTATATACCTACACACATACTAGGTGGGCATGGTGGTGCATGCCTGTAGTCCTAGCTTTTTGGGAGGCTGAGGTGGGCGGATGCTTGAGCCAGGAGGTCGAGGCTGCAGTGATCCTTGATCATGCCATACACTACCCTGGATGACACAGTGAGATCCTGTCTCAAACAACAACAAAAAGAAATGTAATGGTGAAGAGTATACTGGAAACTTTGAAAAGCTTGGCAATGGTTGATTGACCTGTACAGGCTAGAACTGATGATGGAAGATGCTGTCATGACTATGGGCTCTGTGGTATCAATGTATATAGATGATGGGATGCCAGAATTTTGAAGGCCAAGTTGTGGAACTTAACTGTCAGAGGCCCAATTGACATAATTAACTTAATAGGCACATAGGCATGAATCTGTGAACAAGGTAAAGTTCATGATGTTCCAAGGGGCAAGACAGAAGGACAGCTGATTAGGATGTTATTTTACTTATATAACTGACTCCTCTCACCCCTCAGAAAAGAAAATTGAGAATTGGCAAGGAGAAGGCTGACATCAATCTTTGTAATGAAAAACCATAGTTCCCCATCCAGTTTCCAGATCTAAAGCTCATTATTGAAGGGAAGGCCCAGATCCCCTTGAGGAAGGATCATCAAGTATATTTGGTAAATATCCCTCTAATCCTTTCTCCAAGGGGCAGTCACGTACCATCATTTACCAGGGTAACTGTGCAACGGATAAAAAGGAATAGTCAGATTTGTTTTTTCAACCAAGGACTGTTGGATACAGTGCCTGACCTGACATGGATCCCAGCAGACCCAAAAGACCATTGTGGTTCACTGGTTAGAGTAGGGAATCTCAGTGACAAATGGAGTCCTGGCCAAAGTTCATCTCACAGAAGGTAAAATGGGTCTGGTCCCACTCTATTTCTACTCTCCCTAAATATACATAATTGAGCTAGATATACTTTGTAGCTGACAGAACCCCTGGACCTACACTGATGGCTCTTGCTTCTTGCCCCAGGGCTTCTTAGATGCTGTAGGACAGAGTTAATGACCTAGATGCTTCCCTTGACCAATGGGTCGTGTCGACATAAAGTCAGTAAGGATATGGAATACTTGAACAACAGTATTAACCAACTTCACCTAATTGACATTTATAGAACACACTAACCAATAACAGCAGAAAACACATTCTTTTTTTTTTTTTTAGTGCAAATGGAACATTTACTAAGATTGATGATATTTTAGGCCATAAAACAAGGCTCAATATTCTTAAGATAATTCGGATCTTAAAGTATATCCCCTGACCACAGTGGAATTAAATTATAAATCTATAACAAAGATATCTGGAAAAATCTCAAATGTTTGAAAATTATATAACACGTGTAAATGATCCATGGGCCAAAGAAAAAAAGTCAAAATGGGAATAAAAGCACTTTTAATTGAAAGGCAGTGAACACACAACATCGTAATATTTGCGGGATGCAGCTACAGCAGTATGTGAAGGAAAATTTATAGTACCAAAATGCCTTCATCAGTAATGAAGAAAAATCTCAAATCAGCTCTTACCTTAAGGAACTAGAAAAATAAGAGAAAATGAAACTAAAATAGATAGAAAAGGGAAAATAAGACCAGAGTATAAACTGAAATAGAAAACAAAAGCAAGAGAGAAAATCAAGAAAACCAATAAAATTTATAAATCTCTAGCCTGACTAATATGAGAGAGCGCACAAATTATCCATGTTAGGAATGAAAGTGGTGACATCACTATAGATTCTACAGATATTAAAAGGATACTAAGGGAATACTATAAATAACTATGCCAATTATTTTGACAACTCAGATGAAATGGACAAATTCCTTAAAAAAACACTGTGTTGTAAGTCTCCTTTGTGGGATGTTTAAGGATCATTCCAGTGCGGCCATGGAAATTCCAGAGAGGCATATAAAAATAAAGGCGTTATTATACTCATTTGTCCTAGAAAAGAGAGGCATGACATGCCACATGGGGGCTACATATAAGGTTTGAACGCCAAGGGAGCATGCTTGAGCTTAGAGAGAGTGAGGACCCATGGCCAAGTGCCTTTACTGGGGGTCAGAGCAGAGTACACAAGAAAACATGTGAAGGCATTTTATTGGGGCTTTTTGAAAGTCATTAGGTCACAGTCAGGAGGTGGCAGGAACTAGCTTATCACCCTGGTACACCTGGTCATTTGGGCAGGGTGGTTATAGCCTGTTTGTGGGGATATTGAGGCACCAGGAAAATATAAAGTTAAAAAAATTACAATGTAGACAAAACTATCAAGCTCATTAGATACTAAATGGGTAACATGATTAGCCCTATATCTATTAAAGACATTGAATTTGTAGTTAAAAACCTTACCACAAAGAAAATTCTAGGTGGCTAGAAAGTGCACTAAAGGAAATGATGCCTAGATGGCTAGATGGCCACACAGTGAATTTTACCAAGTCTTAAAGGAACAAAGAATATCAATTCTATAAGATCTTTCCAGAAACTGAAGCTGGGAATTCTTTGCAACTTATTCTATATGGCCAGCATCACTCTGATATCAAAACCAGACAAAGTCATTATGAGAAGAGAAAATTTCAGACCAATATTCCTCTTGAACATAGGTGCAAAAATTCTTAACAATTTTAGCAAATCTAATATGAGAATATATAAAAAGGATAATACATCATGACCAAGTGAATTTTATTCCAGAAATGCAAGGTTGGTATAACATTTGAAAATTAATTGATGTAATTCATCATATTAACAAACTAAAAAAGAACCACATGATCATATCAATAGATATGAAAAGAAGTATTTGACAAAATTCAACACACATTCATGATAAAAATTTTCAGCAAACTCAGGATAGAAAGTAACTTCCTTAATCTATTAAAGGGTATCTATTATAAACCCACAGCAAACATCATACTTAATGGTGAGAGGGAAATGCCTTCCTCTTAAGAATAGGAACATGGCAAGGGTGTCTGCTCTCAGCACTTATTTTCAGCATTACACTGGAGGATCTAGCCACTGCAATAAGGCAAGATAAAAATAAATAAAAAGACTTCCAGATTGTAAAGGAGAAAGTAAAAACAGCCTCTATTTGCATAAGACATGATCATCTATGTAGATAATTCTGTTAAATTTATTTTAAAAACTATCACTAGAAATAGGCTAGGCTCAGTGCCTAATACCGGAACTTTGGGAGACTGAGGCAGGAGGATTGCTTAAGCCCGGGAACTCAAGGCTGCAATGACCTGTGATACCACCACAGGTCTCTCATCTGGATGACAGAGCGAGACCATGTCTTACACACACACACACACACACACACACACCCCCACAGAAAAACTATCACAGAAATAATGCACAATATACTAAAGTTATATTTGTATATACTAGCAACAAAACAAACAGAAGTTGAAATTAAGAATACAATTTACAACAGCATGAAAAATGAAATTCTTAGGGTTAAATCAGACAAAAGTCAAACTTTTATAATGAAAAGCACAAAACATCACTCAGAGAGATAAAATAAGACTCAAATAAATATACTGCGTTCATGGATCAGAAGACTCAATATAGCTAAGATGTCCATTCTTCTCAAATTGGTATATACATTCAATGTAATCCCAATCAAAATCACAGCATGTTCTGTGTGTGTGTAGATAATGACAAATTAGTTCTACGATCACATGAAACTACAAACCTAAAACAACTTTGAAAAAGAATATTGGAAGGCTTACAGTACATGTCTTCGAGAGTTACTATAAAACTACAGTATTTAAGACAGTGTGGTATTAGTCTAAAGAAAGCAAATAGATCAGTGTAACAGAACAGAGAATCCAGAAATAGACTTGCACATGTATGGTTAATTGATCTCTGACGATGGTGCAAAGACAAGTCAATAGACAAATGACAGTGTTTTCAACAAATGATGCTGGAAAAATTAGATATCCATATGCAATAAAATAAAATTTGATCGTTTCATATGTTATAAAAATAAACTCAAAAAGGACTACATATCAAAATGTAAAGCTTGAACATGTAAAATTTCTAGAAGAAAATATATAAGAAAACTTTTGTGAACCAGGCTAGTCAGAGATTCCTTATGTACAACACAAAAACATGACCCATAAGACAAAACTGATAAATCAGACTTTATTGAAATGAAAAACTTTTGTTCTTTGAAATACCCTTTTTAGAAAACAAAAAGACAGCTGTAGACTGGGAGAAAATATTTTCAAACGTGAAGGAGTTGTATCCATAGTATATAAAGAACTGTCAAAACTCAATAATAAATTCAGTTAGGAAACAGGAAAAAAACTTGAACAGACACCTCATTTAGGAAGATCTGGATGGAAAATAAACATAAGAAAAGTTTCTCAACATCTTTAGTTAGTAGAGAAATAAATGCAAATTAAAACACAAGAAGATATCACTTTAAACATTTATATATAAATGTTTAAACTTAAAAACACAGACCATATCAAATGATGGTGAGGACACAGAGCAACAAGAACTCTGAAACCCCGCTGGTGGGAATATAAAATAGTACAACACTGTAAAACAATGCGGCAGTTTTTAAAGCACATACACAATTCTATGACTTGGCCATTCCACTCCTAGGCACTAACCCATAAGAAAACATATGTCCATACAAAGACTTGTACACAATAGCAGCTTTATTTGAAACAATTCAAAACTGGAAGCAGTCCAAATACCTGTTAAAAGGTAAATAAATTGTGTTATCTTCATGCAACGGAATAGTAACAGCAATAAAACCCAACAAACTCTTGATACATAGGACAAAATTTATCAATCAAAATAATTATGCGATTGGAAAGAAGCTAGATTAAATGTTCATACTGTATGATTCTAGTATCGTAAAATTCTAGAAAACGCAAACTAATGTATGGTGACAGAAAGCAGAACGGGAGCTGGGAGGAGTCAGGTATTATAATCAAGCATGAGGAAACTTTGAGGTGATAGAAAAGTTTATCTTAATTGTGGGGGTGATTTCAACAGTGTATACATATGTTCACCCTTAACAAATTATGCACTTTTTTGATATCTGCAGTTTATTGTACTTTACACTTCAAGCTGTTAAAAATTAACCAGATATAATTTTCAATTGTGTAAGGCTTGCCACAAAGCATAATATCTCCAAAGAAGCAGACAGCTAATTTTTTCCTCTTAAGATTGTGGAAAAAGTTGTAACGCTAGAGAGAGCTGTGGAATCTAGGGATGAATTGACCAACGCTTGTAAAGCTACTAATCTGAAAAATACATTTTCAGTTACCAAAGTTATTTTCTCTTTCCCATCGTGTAAATAGAATGTCGGGGTTCTTCTAATTTGGGTGTTTCTAAAATTTTAATCCACGTGAACAGATTAGGAAAGGCCACGAAATCATTCTACGTCACCTCTAACGTCACTGCTTGAAGCCTCGTGAAAGGAACTGGCCATGGATCCCACCCCAGCCTATAAATCACCAGGGCGCAGCCTCAGTGCGTGGGGTCGGCAGCCGCCAGCGCCAGGCCGCTCCGCGCACGCTTCTAACTAGGCGGTAGGCCGTGGCTGCCACGTGACTCCCGCTAGCACCGGATGATGGCGCAGCGCTGTGCACGCAGGCGCAGTGTGGGGCCTTTGCGGCCAAAGCTCGCGCGGTAAGCTTCTGCACGTGTGCTACGGCGGGCGGAGGGCCGAGAGCCCAGTATGTGGGGCCAGGGTCACTTTTCTAGAGCTTCTGCAACGGAAAGTGTGAGGTCAGTAGTAGTTTTTGTGGTACGTGCAGTGGTGGCCGCTTCAAGGACTGTTTTCGTCGCTGCTTGCGTTTTAGGTCTCCTATCCTGGGGACGAGGCCCATTTCAGGGTTTTCTGTCACCTTCGAGCCGCCCGCCACCCCAGAGGAGTGTCAGATGCCCCAGTTTTTGAGTGCGTGCAGGCAGGCGAAACTGGCTTGAAAAAACCTTGGGCCTGAGTAAGTTCCATGAAGACGAGGTCACGCAGCCTGCACACTCTCTTCCCCTTCTGGAAAATTCTTTGCCATTTGTTTCAAAATCCCTTGTAAAATAAGTGTCAGGGAGCTACGTGTACCCATCTCTTCCAAATTTTCATCACGAAGTGGAGATTTGGGTGTACCATTTGGTGATCTCTGTTTGCAGAAAGTGTACGGCATCAGTTCCTTCATAATCAGGGCGAGTCATTTTAAAGTAGGATTTAAAAACTATTGTAGAAGTAGCTTCTTGGAGTGTGTGAAGAGATTTCTAAAGTAATTTTAACTTTTACTGAATTTAAGCCTTAATGCCTTCCATGGGAATATATAGTATCCCTAAAAGTTTTTACAGCTTTTCGGTCAGTTGAATTTAAAAACTGCTTTTTGACCAGTAGAAAAGAACCCTTGTTTTGGAGACGTTTTCATGCCACTTACGAAACATTTTTTAAAAAAATTAAGTTGTAACAAAAGTAATCCATTTTAAAAATTTTATCTTTCTGTGATGAGGAGTTAATGTTTCCCTTTTTATAATGAGAGAGCATTTGAAACTTCAGTGTAGTGGTGTTCCTAGACAACTCTTAAAGCTCTTAAAAAATTGCGGTGGCTTAGGCCTGTAATCCCAGCACTTTGGGAGGCCGAGGTGGGCAAATCACAAGGTCAGGAGTTCGAGACCAGCCTGGCCAACATGGTGAAACCCTGTCTCTACTAAAAATACAAAAATTAGCCGCGCGTGGTGGCATGCGCCGGTATTCTCAGCTACTTGGGAGGGTGAGGCAGGAGAATTGCTTGAACCCGGGAAGTGGAGGTTGCAGTGAGCCGAGATCGTGCCACTGCTCTGCAGCCTGAGCGACAGAGCAAGACTTCGTTTGGGGTAAAAAAAAAAAAATCAAAAATCTGTATTTTAATTTTTCTTCAACACTTATAAATGGAAAGTGCAATGTTCTATTATATTACAGATAAAATTATATAGTAGTGTACATTTATTTTGGAATATTTTTGCATGTGATAAAGTATAACATATAATGAAAATTGTTTTTGAAGTAATAGGCAAAATTCTATGTATTTTGCAGTCTTTCATCCCATGGAATCTTCAAAAATAGTAACCACCATGCCTTTTACATAAAATAGACTGACAGTTTAAAGCATTTGTTCTATTATTCTTTGTTTACGTTGTGGAAGTCCTTTTTATGGGAGGATATTTTCTAAAAAAGAATATGTACATTGTTTCAAAGTGTTGATTTATGTAAGTGATCAAAATGTATATGAGTTGTTCAGTATAAATTTGTAAAAGTTTGGCTAAAGAGATAATTTTAAGAATAGAGATTAAATATAATAAAATTGCATATACTACAAAATACTCAAAAGAGTTATTGAAGGAAATATTGAGTTCATTTTTAATATAGAGTTTGAATTTTGATGCTGCATTTAGGATAAAACATTTGTAAGAATTGAACATGATGTAGTTTAGTCTTCATTCATTATTAATGGATGGATTATTATAATCTAATTTAAGGTATTGAATTGTTCTAGTTTTTCAGGAATTGTCCAAATGGATGAAGATACACATTACGATAAAGGTACTGACACTAAAAATTATTTTGGGGTGTTAACAGCTAGATGGTACTGATTAATTTCTAATTTTCTTTGTATTGTGATTTGATTTTAGTGGAAGATGTGGTTGGAAGTCACATAGAAGATGCAGTCACGTTTTGGGCCCAGGTAAATAACAAACTGGTTGATATCCCCCCTCATCTCCCCCCAATCCAGTTTCTCCTCAACAAAAACAAAATAAAATCCAGGAATAAATATATTTATTATTCTCATTGCCTAATATTTATTGAATTATTTATCACCAGGCATTATTAGAAGACAAATGTCGACAGCTGTGACATTACTTGACACATGACTATTATGCGCATAATGCACCAAGTTTAAAAAAAGAAAATTGGCAAGATTGTGATTTCAGAATTCCACTCAATTGTAGGCTGCTTTTGCTGGAGTCTGAGAGCCTGTTGTATTTGTGAAGTTATAGCCCCATCTAGGGGTCTTTTATAAGATTGTTTCTTGAAGGAGGATAAGTTTTTAAAATCTTGGTCTTTTTTTCTAATGGCTTAAATTTGAGATATGGTATTTTTCCTCCTTATAAAATTGGAAGCATGAATGAAACATTTCTGATTTTCTGTTGGGAGGCTGTTGGTTAGGTAAGGTTACTCAGTTTTAAATACAAAGCTAGCACTAAAGGGCTGTGTTCCACAATTTAAGAAGGTGAATTCCTGTAATGCACAGAATGATCCGCTAATTTTTGGTTTTGTGAACTATACATGGTATGGAAGGGAAAGAAATTACATTTCTCTGTACTCCCTACAGCATGGGAACTCCTTTTGGTGGGGGGCGAGGTGAACTCGTAATGTGGGAAATAGGAGAATATATGAGAAGAAAGTTCTAGAAGAATATGATTAACCCAGAGTTCTTAAATACACAGTCATGCATCACTTAATGACTGGGATACATACAGAGAAACGCATCATTAGGCAACTTTTTTGCTGTATGAACATCGTAGAATGTACTTAGAGAAACCTTGATGATATAGCCTACTACATACCTAGGCCGTGTGGTGTACCTGTACCCCATGTTACTGTACTGAATGCTGCAGACAGTTGTAATACAATGGTAAGTCTTTATGTATCTGAATATAAAGATACAGTAAAAATATTTTATAAAAGATTGAAAAATGGTACACCTGTATAGGGCACTTACCGTGAACTGAGCTTGCAGGATTAGAAATTGCTTTGGGTGAGTCATTGAGTGAGTAGTGAGGAATGTGAAGTCCTGGGACATTACCGTATACTACTGTATACTTTATAAATACCATACCCTTAGGCTACACTAAATTTATAAAAATATTTTTCTTCAATAAACCTTAGCTTACTGTAACTTTTAATAAACTTTTGACTCATTTGTGATAACATAGCTTAAAACAAACATTGTAGAGCTGTGCAAAAATATTCTTTGTGTCCTTATTCTAAAGCTTTTTTTCTCTTTTTAAGAAACTTTTAATTTTTTTTACTTTAAAATCTTTTTGGCTAAAAACGAAGACACAAGATCATCAATATCACTGTCTTTCACCTCCACTTCTTGTCCTTCTAGAAGGTCTTCAGAGTCAGTAACGTGCATGGAGCTGTCATCTTCTGTGATAATAATGCCCTTTTGGAATATCTTCAGAAGGACCTGAGGTGGCTGTACAAGTAACTTTTTTAAATGGGTAGGAGGAGTACACTAAAATAAAATAGTAAAAAAAAATATACACACACACCAATGACATAGTTGTTTATTTTCATTACCACGTATTATGTACTGTACATAATTGTATGTGCTGTGCTTTTGTAAGACTGGGGCACAGTAGGTTTACACCAGCATCACCACAAATATGTGAGTAATGCGTTGTTCTATGATGTTACGATGGCTAGGACTACACTAGGCAATAGGAATTTTTCAGCTTCATTATAATCTTATGGAACTACTGCAGTGTATGTGGTTCATTCTTAACTACAATGTCACTATGTGGGGCATGGCTGCATGTAATAAAACATTGCGGAAGGGTGATGTTATAGAAAACTTAGGGCAAATTCGTGTGTCTGCTTATGCACATGTATTTGGCAAATTTGTTTCTGCTTATGCATATTGTCTAAAGGTTGCTCACACGTTGCTGGTTCCATGCCCATTGTCTCTATATTAGTGACAGCTGCATCACTCTCAACAGTGTCCCAGGTTGGATGATAAATTATATTTAAGCTTATTTTATAGAAACATCATTTATCAGTGTAAAAAGATTTTCTACACTAGTGCTGTCTAGTAGAAATATATGAGCCACGAAAGTAATTTTAAAACATTTTTGGCAGCCACATTGAAGAAACTAAAAATAGCAGGTGATATTTTAATAAATACATTTTATTTAACTCAATATATCCAAAATATTGTTTCAAAATATAATTAGCATGGAAATGTAAACAGGATAGTTTATATTTCCTTTTTAATATTGTCTTTGAAATCCAGTGTGTGTATTAGACTTAGAGCATATCTACTTAGACTAGCCACATTTTAAGTGGGTATTGGCTGTTGTATTCAGTAGTGCAGCTCTAGACTTTGATTTCAGTTTACTTTATTTGTGAAGATGTTGATTGAATTTGGAGCAAATTCAAGAGTCAGCAAATTTTTTTTCTGTAAAGGATCAGATGATGAGTAGTTTACCATTTTTAGCCCATACAGTTTCTTTTGCAGCTATTCAACTCTGCCAACATAGTGCATAGCAGCCATAGACAAAATGTGAATGAGTGTGTGTAGCTGTGATGCAGTGAACTTTATTTACTAAAACAGGTGGCTGTAATTTGCCAACCTCTGAGTTAAACCATGAAGTTGAGGCGCTTGCAGAAGAACATTTAAAACAGGAAATATGCACATGAAAAGATTAAACATTAAAACTACTGACGGTGTGTAAATGAATGCAGTGGTTATTTCAGGAAGCAAATTGGCAAATTTGGTTGGGTTTAGGGTGGGATGTAGACATAGAGAAGACTAGAGATTTGAAAATATGGGTAGGCAGATTAGGATGAAAATCTGCTCACATATGTTCTCCATTTTTTGCCCTGTGGGCTTCTGCCTTATAAACCACTTATAAGCAAACACTTCAGATTGGATGGGTGGCAGCTGAAGGAATCTGAAGTATTTGACTCCACCTGTTTCTTTGAAAGAAAGAGCTTCTGGTCAGGCATGGTGGCTCAGGCCTGTAATCTCAACACTCTGGGAGACCTATGTGAGAGGATCGCCGGAGCCCAGGAGTTTGAGACCAACCTTGGCAACATAGTGAGACCTTGTCGCTCCAAAAAAAAAAAAAAAATTAGCCAGGCATGGTGCATGCCTGTGTTCCCAGCTGTGTGGGAGGCCGAGGGTGGTAGGATTGCTTGGGCCCAGGAGATTGAGACTGCAGTGAGCTGAGATTGTGCCAAACAAACAAAAAAAGAGCTCCTATTTGTTTTAGTCTGCATAGTGAAAAAAAAAAATGGAATATTTTGATTCTAGGGGTTTGTTCACAAAGGTTGCCTCTGTTGTTTCTCAGGGTCGGTTTAAATTCAGTTCCTCTTCTGTGCTGAGACTTTGATATTCATCATGATGTTCTTTGAACTGCTCTTTCAGAGTTTTTTTTTTCAGTCATCACGGATAGTCATGTTCTTTCTAGCATTATTGAATATTTCGTTGGTATATTTCTTTAGAACACATATATATATTTAACATTTTATTTTGAAGAAACTTTGACTTACAGGAATGTTGCAAAATTAGTACAGAGGCTACACCCAGCTTCCCTTAATGCTAATGTGTTATATAACCACAGTACAATGATCAAAAGCAGGAAATTAACATTAGTACAATGCTGTTAACTAAACTATAGCCTTTATTTAAATTTTAGCAGTTTTTTGTATTTTTGTGTTCCAGGATCCAATGTGGAATCCCGAATTGTATTTAGTTGTATATCCTTGGTTTCCTTTAACCTCGGAATGTTCCTCAATTTTTCCTTGTATTTCAAGACTTTTGACACTTTCGATGAATATTAGTTATTTTGTAGAGTATCTTTTAATTTGGGTTTGTTTGATGATTTCTTATAAATAGATTAGCAAGAGTTCCACAGAAGTGATATTGTAGTCCTCTCAGTACATCATTATTGGGGTTTCATGATGTGATATACCTTCTTATTGATGATAACCTTGATTCACTTGGGTAGGGTGGCAATTTCCAGGTTTTTTCACTGTAAAGTTACTCTTTTTTCTTTTGTAATTAATAAATGTTTTAGGAGACTTATTGAGGCTGTCTAATCCAGTTTCTCTTCAACTTTTCACCCACGAATTTTATTGTTTATTGCTCTAGTGCTTGCCTAATGATGATTTTCTGTTCCCCTCATTCCTTCCACATCTATTAATTGGAATTCTTCTATAAGGAAGAGCTGTCTTTTCTCTGCCATTTATTTATTCAATTATTTATAATAATATAAACTCATGGATATTTATTCCATGGGTTGTAATCCTATGCTATCATTATTTATTTTGTTATTTAAATTATTCAGCCTTGGCCATCGGGACAAAGTTCACCAAAGAACACAAATTGGTACTTGTCCTTAAAGATGTCCTATTCTTTTTTTGAACACTTTTTTGTTTTTTTTTTTTTGAGACAGGGTCTCTGTCACCAAGGCTGGAGTGCAGTGGTGTGATCATGGCTCACTGCAGTCTCGAACTTCTGGGCTCAAGCAATCCTCCCACCTCATCTTCCTGTGTGGTTGGGACTATAGGCGCATACTACCATGCCCGGTTAATTTTTTGTATTTTTTTTTTTTTTTGTAGAAACAGGGTTTCACCATGTTGCCAAGCTGGTCTCAAACTCCCCGGCTCAAAAATGATCCTCCCACCTCGGCCCTCCAAAGTGCTGGGATTACAGGTGTGAGCCATCACAACCAGTTTTTAAAAAATTTTTTATTTATTTATTTTTTATTTTTAGCGTTGTTTTACTTTCTGACACCATCAAATATTCCAGGACCATCTTTTATTTCCCAGTTTGAGCTCTGCAATCAAATAGATCTTTAAGGAATCCTTTCCATATGATTTAATTATATTTGGTATCTTGTTTGAATTCTACCTAATTTGAACTCATTGGGAAGTAAACTTTTTATATGGCCTAGTCTCATTTCTTATAAATAACTCATTTAAATTATGAAAAAATACAGACATAAGAACTTGATTTAATTTCTAATGGCCTAAAATCTTTTATCATGCTTAGAACCCTCAAGTGTGTAACACTATAATATAGTATTTTACTGTATCTTATATCTAATCTTTCTAGAGTATCAATAGAAATAAGGATATCATGAAGATTGGTTGCTCACTGTCTGAAGTTTGTCCCCAGGCCAGTTCAGTTTTGGGGAATCTTGACCCAAAGAAGGTGAGCCATATTCTTGAATATAATTATTTCATTCCTCCTGTCAGCTTTCCTATGTGTTAGATATTTAGTTTTTGGAATTTTTGGTATATTTGAAATGAAGAGGCTGGTTTTTAGAATTTGTATAAACTACTGTTATGGTAAATTTATTAATTCAAAAATACTTATGAACTGAATATTACTCAGTCTTGAAAGGAAATTTGATGTAAGCTACAACATGGATGCATCTTCAGGACATTAGCTAAATAAAATACGCCAGTCACAAAAGGACAAATACTGTTACGGTTCTACTTACATGAAGACTTTGAGTAGTCAAAATCGTAGAGACAGAAAAAATGAATGATGGTTACCAGGGACTAGGGGAAGATTGGGGATGGGGAGTTGTTGATTAATGGGTGTAGAGTTTCAGTTTTACAAGATGAAAAGAGCTACGGAGATGGATGATGAATGGTGGCGAAGGTTGCAAAACAGTATGAATGTACATAATGCCACTGAACAGTAGACTTAACCATGGTCAAAATAGTCAATTTTATGTTATGTATAGTTTCCTACAGTTAAAAATAGGAAAAAATAGAATAAAAGCCACACTCTTCTAGCCAAAAAACAAAAGTGAAGAAAACGTATGTACCATCTGCCATGTACCTGGCACTGTATTGAGCATTAAGTGTGCAGTGGTGAACAAAATAGATTCCTTGCCTTTGACTTTGATTCACAAAAAATTTGTAAGATGCATCTTCATGCAGAACAATTTGGCTATCTTTTTTCTTTTTTTACTGAGGTATAACTTGTGTACAGTAAGGTATATATATCTCTTAAGATCTTAAGTATATAGCTTGGTGAATTTTTACATATGTATGTATCCATGTAACAACCATCCAGATCAACATGTGGTTCCATCATTTCAGAAAATTCCTTCAGGCCCCTTCTCAGTCAATTCTTAGTCAGTAGTTTCTCCATCAGAGATATAACCATCATTCTTACTGTATCACCATAGATTCAGCTGTCTGTTCTTAAATCATGCAGTATGTACTTTATTTTATGTATCTGGCTTCTTTTGTTTAACATAATTTCTGAGATTCATTTATATTGTTGTGTGTATTAGTGTATTGGTAGTCTGTTCTTTTTAAAGCTATTTAGCATTCATTGTATACATATAAGACACTTTATTGATCTGTTCTCCTTTGATGGGCATTTGGATTTTTTTGCAGTTTTTAACTACTCTGAATGAAACTGCTATGAAATCCTTATATAAATATTCTGCTGGATGTATTGACTCATTTCTTTTGCACATATATCTAGAGTAGAGTTGCTAAATCATAGGGTAGGCATGTTTCTGCCAAAGTAGATACTGCCTAACAGCTTTACAAAAGTGTTGAACCAATTTACATCCTTCTCAGCAATTTATGAGAGTTGTAGTTCCTCCATGTCCTCACCAGCCCCCTGCATTGCTAGTGTACTGAAGTTGTATTTTAATATTTTTATTAGCCCTTTGCAAGGGCTCTTGTGAAGTACGTATTCACATCTTTTCCCCATTTTAAAATTAGATTATTTGTCTTGATTGATTTGTAGGCATTCTGTATGTTTTTTTCACTTTAATTTTTATTTCTTATTTCTACCTCTTAAAGTCAATGATAAAGTCACAACTGTAAAATGAATGCATTTAAAAAATAAAAAATATATTTCAATGACAAAAGGTATGCAATGATCATGAAAATCTACTGTACACTTTGCCAAGGCCAAAGAAGGAAAGACAATATGAAAAAGCCAATCTTCAAATATATCCTCAACAAAAACTCCCTCCTAAATAGTAAAATCATCATTTAAGAATATGTGTCTTTACACATCTAAACAGCAGCTCCAACCAAAAAAAAGCGGAGGGAATAGGTCAGATGATAACTCTCCCCAAGGTTTCCAGATACAAACATGTGGTCACCAGGAATTCAAGATTAAACTTCTAAAGCAACATTTAACTCAAAATAAAATGAACATTTCTGACAGATGACAACAGTAGTATAAAACTGATTTTTTTCTTTCCTAGATAGAAATGAGATGGGGCATTTCGGTAATCATCTAAGAATAACTGTAGAAATACTCCCAATTCTGCCACCCCACCCACTGGTATAAAACAAATACCTTCCATGAAAGTGTCTTTCACATTACTAAAATATCCTCTCTTACTTGGGACAGTTTCATGCTTAGATGAGTACAAACACTTGTTTTTAGATGTGTGGAATGATTGGAGCTGAGATTTTTGAAACAGTATCTGAATCTTAGCAGAGATATAATAATCCTTTCACTACACATTGATTGGGCTTCCTTAACCAAATCTGAACAACTACTGTAGTAACAATGCTCGTGGTAGTCCCTGATACTCTCAAATTTTTTCTCTTTAAGAAAAGTATAATCCATGTAACACTAGTAAATATGTTACATTGTATACCTTCTTAACAAAGAATGACTGTTTTCAGGCCTTACTAGGAAAACAAACAAACAATGGCAGTTATTGACTGTTTTTATCACTGATAAGCTACAGTAAAGCTCAAATGATGGATGATTTACGTGTGTAATATTAAGTACAAAATGAAAACCATTATAATTTTACCAAAAGAAACACGAAAAATATGAGAAGAAGTGAAATGAACATGGCGTGGATCCCAAAGATTACAATATGATTCGGAACAGGATTTTCAAAACAAACAATTTCTGTGAATATTTCTTATACTAGAAAGATCCAAAGCAAATCTAAGCAAGCTTAGCCCTACCTTGTCGAAGATAAATACTCGGATAAGTTAGAAGTTCCGTTTGCTAAAGTGCATCTGCTGATCAGATCTACCCTGCTACTTAGAGCCAGCCAGGAAGGTGGCCATCACTCATGCTCATTCCGTCTTTCTGTGTCTTATCAAGAGTCACACATAACAATTTTTTTTTCAAACCAAATGCTTTATACAGTGAACTACAGAAAAAACATTCTAAATATACTTTTAAAATGCTAGAAAGTTAAGATAACCTCATTTTAAAAAAATACTGAAAATGTAAAGGGTCCATACCAAATAAGAGTTGTATTAAGTATATACTTTCTATTTTAATAATTCACTTGCTGTGTTCTTAAAATGAGAGAAGCAGATATTTCACCCATGTCTTTTGGCAAGAGATTCAAAAGCAGAAGTAGCAGGGCTATAAAATTTCATAAAATTTGTGGGATTTTTAAAGCTAAATTATTCAATATCTTGTATTGTTATTGCACCCATATATTGCCCTGGAATATATGTACAGCAACCCAGCAACAGTGACTGCAACAAAAGTAAGGTAAATAGGTCTACAAAGCATTTGATTTCGTTATTAAAGTTTTCATAGAGGAAATGCAAACAACTGCAATTCAGATCACATTATATAAACTTGACAGTTATTTAAACCTTATATAAAATTAAATCTAACCCTTACCACTACAAATCTGTAAGGAATCAGAAGAGGATTTATAGTACACAAATCTTGACTACTGTTGCATTCCACTTGGAAATCACTCTGAGCTAAAACAGCATTCTTCCAAGATTTAAAGAAAAATATATTTTATAAAAGGGATTCTTTTATTTTTGTTACTGACAGAAACAAGTTTTGCTTTTTCCCTCTATAATTCGCTCTGATGAAAGAAGTAATTCTCTCTCTTAATTCCTAACAAAAACAAACGCTACGTTTTCAAGACTAAAGGAATTACTGGTAGGCATTCTTTCTCCTTGATCTAAATTATTTGTCTCTAAAATATGTCAAGTAAGCTTCTAAAGATTCAGGGAGGGGCAGAGTTGTGATATTTTTTCTCTCAGTAAATTTTGAGGTGGCTCTTCTGGCTTCATTGCTTCACTGTGATCTTTTTCTTCCTCTTCTTTGTTACCTTCTTCCATTTTTTTCATCCTCCTCTCTGTCTAGAGACTGAGGAATAAGCTGATTACCCACAAATATGTACATATTAATTCTCTGTTTAACTCTCTTTTATTTTTGCTTTTTCAGTAGAGCCCTTTGAGGAATCCCCTTGGCCTGCATCTCATCATTTATGCAATTTCTAAATGTGCATCGAATGTAAATACAAGCCAAATCCTGTAGATTCCTGACAGCACAGGGAGGGAGTCCCACAGAATCTGGTTTGCCATTATCATTCTTACTTGGTTGCACAAGTGGAGCAAATGACAAAACAAGGGTATTTTTCCTTTCCCAAGTGTTTTGCCCGGTTCTGTGTTAACGGATCCTCTATAGACGTGACTAGTATGCCTCCAACTTATAGTAGTATTTTCATGCTCTTTCTGGACTCCAGCTCCACAATAATTTCCGTCATACCGATGACTGTCAGATGCTATCTGGAGGCAATTACTGACGACAAATGCAGGTTCACAGAACTCAGATCTCAGCAGTGGTTTTCTTTATACGTGCGTGTTGGAATATCTTCATCTTCAGATGGACAGATGATTTCGCTTACAGTGGGGGCTTGCCAACTTGCACATATAATTCTTTTGATGAGCTGCTAGGAGATCAGAGTGACCTAGCCTTGCCTTGTAACTTCTCTCTTAGATGGATAGTCTAGGTCTAGGAGCTGATTATCAAAGCTATCACTATTTTTGATGAAGCTCTCCAGTTTTTCCTTGGCATATTCCACCACATCTGGATGAGGCCCAATCCCGTGGTTTATTCCAAAAGGATCTGTGGTGCAGTGGTTGGTCCGGCCCACTGCAGCGCTGAGCAGACCAGGTGCTGGTAGTTGGTGGGGTCTGTGGCAGCCGGATGCTGCTACCACCACAACAGCACAGCCACCGCCGGTGCCGAGGGGAGCGAATTGGTGGGGCAGGGACCTCTCTATGTGTTTTTTATCTATGTTTTTTGAGATGAAGTCTCTTGTCGCCCAGGCTGGAGTGCAGTGGTGTGATCATGGCTCACTACAGTCTCAACCTATTGGGCTCAAGTGATCTTTCCACCTCAGCCTTCCAAGTACCTGGGACTAAAGGTGTGTGCCACCATGC